AACCATTCAGTTCCGGTGAAGTGTCAGTTCATCATGCATGCCCGCCTAGTTCATCTTTCAAGGGCATGCACCATATCGAGCACATCTACTCGACGCCAACAATTCAGTACCGGTGAAGTGCACCTGCTCAATTCCCACAATTAAGTTCCGATGAGGTCTCATTTCGTCATGCATTGCATGCCCAATTCATCTTTCAATGTTATGCAACATATCGAGCACATCTACTCAACGCCAATCACCATTTGCTTCCAGAAGTCATCTCGCGCATGCTCCGCTCAACCATTGCGCGCTGCTACAGCTACGCAGCATATTATCGAACATCTCTACTCGATGCTTTACACGATCGCCTACGGCATAGTGGCATCTCAGACATGATGTATTCAGCGATCGCCCGTTGCCACGGGTGGGTAAAACCATGCTGAGCGCATATTTTCGATGGTACTCACATTCCCACGTTCCGCCGAAGTATCATTCCAGGCACATAGGTACCTCTCAAACATCACCACCTGTCGCCAATATGCAAGCCTGTATTGTGCATACACATTTTTTACAACAACAGCTCACTGTCGGCGAAGTGTTATGTGGATCATGTCCAGTCTAATACCCGTCAGACCCTCTTACAACGATGCGCAACTGCAATGACCGCATCCAATTCACGGTGTCAGCAGACCTTCTTGCAGTTATTCACGACTGCAATGACCGAATCCAATCCACAGTGTCGGCAGACCTCGCGAACATGGACAACTGCAATGACCGCATCCAATCCACAGTCTCAGTAATCCATTCCCGTCAATGCGTCATCTCAGTTATGCCTTGTCCAAGACATATCAGCTGTAGAAGTTTTACATAGCTAGACTGAGCACACCAATTCCTGTGGTATCAGTCAGCATTCCAAGTCCACCAAAGTGTCATCTCAAGCGTGGCTCATCCGAGAACCATCACTGCCTGTAATTAGGGCAAAGGTCGGTGTCATGGATAGCCTCATCGAATGTCTTCCGCTATGATATCAGAGCTTCATGCTGGCGTAGTGCGCATCCGAGCATGTGTTGCAGAGTCTGCATTTTCCTCTACAATCATATAACCTCGACTTTCGAGTATTCGATGAAATGAATCACTCATGCTGTCAGGGTCATGATCACACATTGATTCAGTTGAAGTCAGACACCACCCTGGGCTTACTGATCTTGTTACACATTGATTCAATTCCGAGTCAGACACAAATTTAAACACACTTGTCTCGGCACATATCGATTTGTCTCCCAGGGATACGTCACTTGCAATATAGTTTCCGGTGCACTATTCCAGCTCAAACTGTTTGCCATGCCATGGATTTCCATCTCTTTCTGCGTTTGCTTGGCTCAAAGCGACACTACAATCCGCAGATACGAAGTCTTCAAGGTACATGAGTCACTTCCAACTGAACCCCATCACGAGTCTTTCAGGCTCATCGTCCAACGACCATCGTCCAGCGTCCAACGTCCATCGTCCATCGTCCGTCCATACAGGACGTAGCTGAACCCTATTTCAGTCACTTTACTTCACTGTGCACCGGTACAGCTCAAATGTATCATAGTGACCCGCACATCCAGTGTGACACAGCCCAGAGAGGACGCCGTCTCGAGCATGTTTCATTCCAGATCGAATTGGATAGGAGCGAAAACTTACGTCTAGCGCAGTCGATCAATCACTACATACACTACGCTATCATTGATGGTTATTAACGGACTCTCATCAAAAGTTCCATCGATCGATCCAAGTGGCAACGACCTTGGTCTTCCATACAGTGAGCCAGGAACGTTCCCGGACTTGAGTCGTCCCCATGGACAACCTCGATGCGTGCACCACCAAGCTCTTCCGAACGTCAACACCGCACAAGCACACCAATCCCCCGCGATCCAAGATAAATGCAATCCCAAAATACTGCCATCCGATGCGTTGCTTGCTGATTTCCAGGTCTAACGTAACCTTTTGATCAGCTGAGCAGCTCAGTTTGAGATGGAACGCGTTTAAAGGTGTGTAAAGCTCAAGACTGCTAACTCTATACAGCTCAGAGCAGCAGTTGGAGCTGATCCGATCTGCAGCACCGCTTACCAGGAGATGAGCCAAATAGCACCCACTCTTCTTTTCGTTTGTTGCAAGTCACAGATTGGGTTGATCCATGATGGATGTGCGCTGCTAGCCGACATGCTTTCTCGGTGCACTAGAGGCGAAGTTTGATGTTCTCACACAGCTTTGCTGTTCACGGGAATACGAACATTGGGTAAGGCTGAATCGAGTCAAGCATAACGTCAGGCTTCCCTGAATGCGCCAAGTCCGACGGCCAATGTACGCCGAATTGTACTGCTATGACCCGGAACGACTCAAGTACTCGGCTTACTTCTGGATTTGGGAGAGTCTGAGAACTTACCAATGAGCCTGATACTTCTTCTCGCGAGAGGGCGCTGAGGTCCACTTCAAGCTCTTTCTAGGTGACGTCCATCGAACAGCCTCTCGTTGAGGCTCCGTCAGAGTCGAGTGTTGTGTACTCTCGCAAATGTCTCAAAGGTGTAGGCATGGAGGCATGGAGGCATGGAGGCATGGAGGCATGGAGGCATGGAGGCATGGAGGCATGGAGGCATGGAGGCATGGAGGCATGGATAAACACAACATAAGTCGGAGATGGAGAAGTGGGTAGTGGGAACTTGCTATGAAAATGGAGGCCCGGCTGTATCAATTCGGTTGAAAATTTTTTGACCATCAAATGACACGATACTAAAGAAGTAATCAAATCGAAATCGTCCCAACAAGTGACATCCTGTATATCTAAAGCTGTGTTGTCCTTCTCTTGTTCCTCGATTCATTTAATGTTAAGAGTTGAGGTTAATATTCAGTACGGACATTGGTCTAAACTAGTGGTTTCGTGATAGTCGGAATGCGGGAGTATAGTGTTGGATGGGCTCAAGCAACCCTGCGTTATGGGTCTCAGTCATCCGCCCGCATCTGCGCACAAGTTTCATCATCAGGGATATCTTTTTTCGGATCAAACCCATCGCACGCAGCTTCCCAACATGGTGCGATCCCATCGCAAACTCTATGCCACCACTCGGCTGTTTCTGCACACCAATCAGTAACCCTATTGTGTATTTACCTATTGCACTTACGCTTCAAGGCTTCACGTGGATAGTCCACATCCCACTTAATATACCCACAGTTCCTCATCACACATGGATATGCGCAGTTGTAGAAAGGCGCGATAACGTGTGCTGGGTCAAGACAGTATTCACCCCTGGTTATATTGCGAGCATCAAAATACAGAGGCCTGCGATCGAAGATGCATTCTCTCTGTCAAGTTTGTCAGTCATATGTCCGGCATATACGTGTGGTTAGAAATATAAGGAAACGTGGCCTACTGCACAATCATTCCGGAGGTCGGCAGTTAGTGGCCAAAACTGGTCGTCTGGACTGCCTTGAGTAGTGGGAGCTGCATGTGTGATGGCCGTAAGGAGGACGGTGCATACGGCGGAGAAGCGCATCTCGGAGGGTTGGAAGAGGTGGGTTTACGGCGTTGTGCTATGTTTTTTGTGGGTTGAGGTGATGGTGGAGGGTCCTGAGGCGTAGGAGAGTGGGTTTCTTCAGCGGGACAGATGGAGGGCTGTGGGTTTATATAGACTAGATGCATTATTTTTTAACAATCTTTTTTTGGGCCGGGATACCGTGGATGTATTCAATAAGTTCGGTAGCGAGATGGGCTGGGGTCGTCGTACGTACCGTGGAATCAAACATCGATAGTCCGTTGTTGATACAACAGTGTTGAATGAGTGAGTCTTGCAATGGGAAGATCTGGAAGGAGAGTAGCTTTGGAATAATACTGCTCGCTGAGACAGTGTGTCTTATCTTTGTCTATGCTTCGGCTTCTGACCGTCGCATGGTTTTTGGTCGCCTGGTTGAAGATCAACATCTGGCGGTTGTGTCTTCCGTTGTTGGTACACTATTCTATGGAGATGGCGGCTTAGATTAAAGTATTTTATGTAAGTATGGTATTCAACAATACTGGGCAGAGATTTTGAGGCTGGGTGCAGATGTTGGAATACGCTGTAAAGTGCTTTGCGAGCCTGGGGTATCGGAATGCTGTTTCCTGAATATTGAGTATTTTGCGTAGTTGGCAGACTGTGGCCAGTAGGAGACCTTACTACCTGACACACAATGTCCTTGGAGAAGAACTCTTTCTTGATACGGTATGCCTGAGGTTCCTGTTGAACGTTACCGACGCGTTGCTCGAAAAAATCTTGAACGAAGGGTATCTACAGAGAGCCAATTTCCAATCAGAAACTTCCTGGAATTGTAGTTAGACTACTGGCTCAAGTCAGTACCGTGATTCTTTATTAAACCCTGTAAGTCCAGTGATGTGGTATGCGAGAGAGAACAGAGTTCTAAGGTTTTAACTCTATCTGGCCAAGGAGGTGCGTTATTAAATGAGAAAGTGTAACACTCTGAGCACACACTTTGGAATAATGTCAATCTTTTGGAAGCCTAGTATGCTTCCTAGACATTCAACTTCTCGGAATATAATCATTTCAAAGTGTACAAGCACCGGAATCCTGCTTCCGACGGTGTCGAAAGAGGAGCGTAGATCATGCAAGCAAGCCATACAATGGCTAAAGAATGCTGCGCTGCCTTGAAACAAGTGAAACAGTACATGGACCCGCATTGTTTAGAGTCGGCAGGAACCAAAAATCTGCCTCTTTGTTCTATCCTGGTTTGCGGCACTGTTATGGAGGTCGCAAGCTATTTAGACTCGTAGCTTGCCCCTTCTGTAGCATAGTAGTTATAAGTCAAGTGCGTAACTCATATAATCTTTACATCAAAGTCATGGCGAATCAACACTCCCCGTCTGGCAACGACCAGTCTTCGACTCGATATCTACCACACAGTGTGCCTGGAAGGTCAAATGATGCAGACTCAAGACCATACCGCAAGCTGCATGTTACCCTGACATGGCCCCTAGCATTTAGAAGTGATCACTGATGATCAATAACCATATAGATCCTCGATAGAACATACCGGGTCTCCTAGTTCTTCAACTCTTTTAGTACCACAACCCGGTTCATCTAGCCCAGGTTTGAAAATTGCCTTAGAATCTCGCTCTGAATCCTCGAAAATGCCAAAACTACAGTCCGTTCAAGGACCTGGCGGTCCTACCCGGTCCGTTACCTCTCCTGCTCATAAGAATCCTCCAGGACAGTCCTCTCCCAGAAAATTTTACTCCGCCAAATCGCATACCGCACATTCCCAGGGGAGCCGCGATTATATACCGATTTATACGAGGAGTGCTCCCCATAGCGGCTCAACACCGGTCACTGAGGCAGCAGGTCAGCCTATTGATGCTCCGGAGCAAACCTCTGCATGGTCAAGTATGTGGAAATAGAAGTTAGACGGTGATGTACACATGTTGACGTTGTTTTTACAGCTGCATGTGCTTATTCGGCATCGCATACGCCTACAAACACTTCTGAATCTGGATCTGGATCTGGATCTGCATTCGCGTTCAGACCAGCATATGGCTCCAAGCAAGCAAGCCATGCATCTCCCTCTCCCTCTCTCACACCAACACAAAAGAGTGGTACTGAGCGTTCCGATAGACGTAAAGCAACGCCTCGGACAAGGCGTCCCAAGCCGGTTTCTGAGAACGATGATGGAGATGAGAATGTAAATAAGTCCGGGGATGCTGATAAGAACACCTCGAAACCGAATTCGAACAGCGATGACAGTGAGAATACGATCACGGTAAGTGATCCGAAGGACGACTCCGTGGATTTGAGTCAAGAGCTGGGTGCGACGATGGAACAACTAAAATGTTGAGTTTGGGCGACGGGAAAGGAGAAGGGAGCTCGTGGTGATAAAACATTGGGCTTGATGATTCACGCATGTAATGATATTCCTAGGCAAGGGAAAGAAGATGGTTGGCTGGTATTCCTTATATACCTGATGACTTCCTGACTGGTGCCTCGAGGCTTGTTAGGTGTGCTTTATACCATGTTTACTATGTACCCAATCAAACTACAACACTACGTTCTCTTCACCCCCCAAATGATCCTTGAAGCTCGATATCCTTAGCACAGTTTGCATTGATATTCAACCATGATCTGACTTGTGGCTGGGATAATACTTATTATGGTTACTTCGATATAATGGTGGATGGAGATGTCGAGAGTAGCGAAAGGCTTGAGGGAGAGCGAGGAGAGCAAATAGAGTATGTCTCTTCTTTGTAGGACTTCTGCACTATTCCTCCTAGAAGAAAGAGAGACGTTTTGAGAGTCAGAGAGGAGATTTGTGCGCCAAGATAAGTGATTGCGCACGTGAACGGAGAGCTGGTCTCGCTGTCGCTCGGTCCGTAGATAATGTCGCGGTGAGATATCTCATTCCAAGTCTGGAATGGCTAGTATAGCTAGCGATAACTCGTAATAGAATCAGAAACTGCATGTAAGATCTCACGTAACATTGGCTAATGCCGTAGAATAGGGTAATGAGATGTGTGCCTAGAAGGGTGTATTTCATAGATCAAGTCATCTATATCCTTGATTGCGACTACGTGGAGTACATTCCAAGCACATGCGACACAATAATATGATACTCGCCTGCATCTAGACGACGCGGCCCTTGACCTGCTTGAACTTGCGCACATCAATATCACGCCACACAGCAATAGCACCGACCCCAATAACCAGAATACATGTCGAGGCAATGGCCATCCATCTCTGGGCAACAGCATAAGCGCCGATGACAGCGTTGCGCTCCGGCGTGCCGGGTGCATAGGTCAGAACGGTGATGGCACTGGCATAAAGTTCAGCTGCAGTCACAGCCGAGTCCGCCGGTAGCCGTGCCGCGATCTCGCCCGGCACGATGTTGGTCCAGATAGCTGCCGAGACAGACAAACCGATGGCGCCACCGATGGAACTGAACATGCCGATCAAGGCAAGCAACGTTGCCACATTCTCGTGGGCGCCGGAAGCGAGGACCGCAATCTCTTCACAGATGACGAGAGTGCCACCAGCGACGCCGATCAGAACCTGGCACATGATGACGTAGCCGACGGATTGGTCGGGTTGACGGAAATGGATCAGTAGGCCTGCGCCGAGGAACATGAGGGGCATTGCGGCGGCGGCGAACCGTTTGATGTAGCCAGCTTGGCGGATCAGAAGGCCGGCGATGATACCCCATGCACAAGAGCTGAGATTGTAAGTATTGTAGATGTAGCCTGCGGACTTGGGCTTCAGATTCCACACGACCTGCAGGTAAGACAGAAGATAACCATCCCAGCAGTAGAAACTGACGAACAGGGTCGCAGCCAGGATGCAAGCCCCGAGTACAGTGCGATCTAGAAGGAGCTCAAAGGGAATGAAGGGCTTTGGCGCGACGAACTTCTCGTATAGTACAAAGCCAATGAGACACACAATGCCGACGACAAGCAGAGCAATAATGTCGGGGCTGTTCCATTTGGAAGCAGAACCGGCCGCGAGATTGAACGGCAGGAGGAACATGACAAAACCAGCGCAAATTAAGAGCACGCCGATAAAGTCGAACTCGATGAGGTAAAATTTGACCGACTGGAACCAGGTCCTGCCACTGGGGACCTTTGTCAACAGACCAGCTTTCTTCGCTTTACGCTTGTTGATCCAGAAGATCAAGGCGACCGGGGCACAGATGATGGGCGTGATGATTGCGAACGAACCGTAACCCCAGCGCCAGGTGCTGTGGTCAAGATACTCTTGTCCAAGAGCGGGCCCGGCAAACGTGGTTGCAATGTATGGCGCAGTGGTGAAAGCAAACATTAGGCCTCGACTTTTCAGACTGGAAGTGTCTGCAATGAAGACGTCTAAGGTATAGCCCATACAATTATAGCCCACCCAGTAGAACACCTGAGCCGCAGCATACAGCTCGACGCCGTTGCAGGCGGCCATCATGATTAGACCAATGGTTGCACAGGTGAGGGCAGCGAGGTAGCCCTCGGTGCGACCGACGATGTCGATGAGTTTTGCCAAGGGCAGCCGCACCACACCACCGATAATCTGCGACATGACGGCGGTCGTTGCAGTAAGCTCGTGCAGAGCAAAGCTACTTGTTACGTACAAGGTGAAGGTGTAGCTCGTCTGCTGGAGGAACGAATTGACGAAGAAGACCAGGAAGATTCTGAGTTTGTCAGTGAAGTACACGGCTTGTGCTGATGGTGACTGGTAACGTACGCAGCGTATGCTCCAATCAAGGCATTGCGAGACCAAACAATGGCGGTTGCCTCGACGGCCTTTACACCGTACTGGACATCCTCCTTCTCCAAGGCCTCAACATCAGAATCGAGAGAAACACCTTGGTGAGTTTCGCTCAGGTTGATGTTCTTCTCACCTCCGATAGACAGTTGGCGTGCTTTGTGCTCCTGCTCAGTGGGAAACTCGGCAGCTCCCAAAGGACCAGGCATGATGGTGAGGGCAGGCACGGACTATACAGCCTTGTGCAATTGCGTAGCCTCGCGGATGATAGTTGAAACGGCACGGAAAGAAGCGATGCGTGGCAGCAAAGCAGCAAATTCAAGACATGCAACACGCGAGCCTTTGTACCGTGGGACCGACAAGAGGGCAGATGAAGGCGGAAAAGAAGCACAGCTTGGCGTCGAGGATATATGTATGTAGCCGGCGGTCGTGATAGATAGAGAGCCAGAGTTCTGCCGCGAAGAGGGACGGCTGACAGCTGTGAATGAGGGTCTATGTCGGTCTAGCCACGAGGCAGTCCGGTGTAAAGGAAGAACGACTAGAACGACGAAGAGATGTGAAGAAGCGAAACACCAGGTAGGATTGGGCGAATTTGCACAGGATTGTCTCACCAGGAGCGAGAAGTTTTTCCCACCATTCTCGCTTTGGCCCATTGTGGCGCCACTCCCACTCCAAAGGCTGTGGAGGCGTTGCCGGCGATGGACAGAATGGGGAATCAAGGGAATGACAGAGCCCGGGGGGGATTCTCAGCTGGTGGGAGGGATGGGGTGGGATGGGATAAGCGGGGCACGGCTCGAGACTCGGATCCTGCGCCGCCTCCGACTCAAGGGCAAGTGGGCTGGGGTAGTAGTAGCATTAGCACATTATTGTACCATGTATACCAAGTATATACCTATATAGTACTATAGAAGTTAGTAAGTAATGGGTACGTGGCCAGGAGTGTGACAAGGAGTTTCTGCCGTTGCCATTGTTGGAACTTTGTTGCTTTCATGCCAACGGAGTGGATCCCGAGCAAGCCATCGCGCCCATGGCGGCCTTGTGCTCTACCATCCGTTGATCTTTACAATCTGATAATCTGATAAATAATGCCGCACGCCAGTCGACGCCGCAGACCTTTCACTCGGCTGGAAGCTAGACCTAGAACGGCATCTGGCTGCGGATCAGATAACCCTAAATTGACAGTTCCCGACCTCGCTTGTAACGATGACTGGTGGCCAATAACATCATGGGACACGGTGCAAGGATACTAAGTGTGATGTTGATGCTGGTGCACACGGACCTTTGCAGTTGTTGTGTGACTCGTGTCGCACCCTTCCCTGCTGCTGGTTCATACTATTTGCTAATCTTATCTGATCCACAAGCATCTAGATGCGACCCTTTGTTACGAGCGAACAATCTCCGGCCAGACCTGCTCATTGTCTTGCGCCTTGCCATACAACCCAACCTATGTACCACTCCTCATTCCTAGTCTCCACCACAGTGACCACATTGATATTAGCCCAGCATGCATGGCTTTCATACCAGTATAACGATGTCGTACTTGGCATCAGTGTGTACCGAGATGCTGCATTGGCATGCTCGGCCGCTCTGGCTTGCCACGGCTTGTTCCTGAATTCTGATCACACTACTATTTCACACATGGTCCTTTTCTAACACACGTCTCTCCATATCCGATCTCGTGCTACCACTTGTTGCTGCTCTAGCTCCTGGTGGATTTCTTTTAGTCGTTATTATTCCTCTTTCGTTTTGCATTCTAGATCTCTCACCATCTCTTCATCACTCCACTCGAATCGAGCACAAGCACTCGAGAAACGCCACAGTGTGTCTCGCGTGAAGCGTTACGAAATCATGTCGAAGTCCATCATCACCCCTCCGGATTCTCCCGCCAGGACAGACTCACATCCGCACCGGATTCTTGTAGTTGGTGGCTCGTATGCTGGCGTTTCCGGCTTGGTCAATCTCCTCCACCTAATCGATGGCAAGCCAAACCGCCCATCTCCCACGTCGACACTACCAGATCTCAAAGGATTGAAGTCCAGAAAAGGCGTACAGGTCACATTGTTGGATCGCAGGGACGGCTTCTGTACGTTTCCTATAACCCCCACGCCCACACGCCCTTAGCGCTCCGTAACCTCACACATCACAATGAACCGTCTTGCCATTCTAACTCTTATTAGTCCACACAGTCGGTGCACCACTTGCTCACGTTTCTCCCTCCCACGTACGCTCCTCGTGGCGCACATACCGCTCAATTCGTGCCCTCCGCCACCCGAATTTCACTTTCGTCCAGGGTTACCTCAAGTTCCTCGACCCTGAATCGCTCCGCGCCACATACCTCACGCCCTCAGGCGACGAGACATGCATCGAGTACGACTATCTCCTCCTCTGTACCGGCTTGAAGCGCGACTGGCCCATCATTCCCCGCGCAGCAGACTTTCACAGCTATGTCGCAGACGCAGAGCGGGAGATCAAGAAGATCCAAGATGCGAAAGCCGATGCGACAGGCCGCAGAATTGTCGTCATCGTTGGCGGCGGCGCCGTGGGTATTGAGTTTGCCGCTGAAATCAAATTATGCCATCCGCACGTCCACGTGACACTGGTGCATTCCCGGCATGAACTCCTATCCAGCGAAGACATGCCCGCTGCTTTCAAGCAGGAGAGTTTGCGCGTGCTTAGACATGAGGGTGTCGATGTCGTGCTCGGGCAGAGAGCATGCATTACGCATGGCGAGGGCACATCGCACATCGTCACCCTGAGCGACGGCACCGCCATCCATGCCGGCCACGTTATAAACGCAACTGGCAAGACTCTCCCATCGTCTGCCTTCCTCCCCGCACATATCCTCGACGAGCACGGCTTTGTCAAAGCAGAAGAGACGTTCGTTGCTCCTTTCCTTTACCTTCCCCACCCCCTTCTTCTTCTAATCCCTGGATGATACAGAACTGACAAGCACACAGTCTCTCCTTTCCACCTTCATCGCCGCACCACGCCCGCCACTATGCCGCCGGCGACATCTGCGCCTGGTCAGGCGTCAAGCGTGCCGGCACCGCTCTCGTTATGGCCCACGTTGCCGCCACGAATATCATGCGCGAAATCCTCCTTTCTGAAAAACTATGTTACCCTTCCAACTCCCACATTCCCATCGACGAACTCTCCCTACACGATACTGCACCTGCCACGCCGCCGTCTGCACGATCGTCACTGGATGGCGACAATAGCTCAAATCATGAAGACACAGCTATGAACAAAAACAAACCAAGCCAAACAAAGTCAGCGGACGACGAACCATTCGGTCCTGCGGCGCGCTTCCCCGCTGTTCCGCCGATGATGGGCCTCGCAGTGGGCAGGCAGGCGGTCAGTTGGAATCCGTATGCGGCAGAAACGAGGAGTGGTGTCGAGGTGCGTGAGATGCTGTTTGGTGAGGATTTAGGGTGGAGGGCGACGTTGAAATGCTTGGGGCTTGATGAGGAGCTGGAGGTTTAAAGGGTGCTGTCTAGTCTTCTTTTGATGCTTGACATTTAGTATATTCGTATATACATATATATCTACCTCATAAAATGTACTCGGGACATACCATAAAAGTACGAGTGTATTGTGAGTCGGATACACGAAAAATACTGGCTATGCTTATTCTTGTTAAGTCTACACTGCACACGAAGATCGTTTTTAAACACGGTTCATCTCCCCTACAGCTTCGCACTCGTTACCAATGCATTCAGCCCATCCGGCCCCAGCACACTGCCATTCCACCCAAATGGACTTAACTGGAAAAATCTCTCACGCTCACACCACATCAGCGCACTCCTCTTATGCCCCAGATCCATCCACTTGACCAGACTAAACCCATGCGCAAAGTCGTACTCCAGCACCGTCTTATTCGTTGCCTTGGGCTCGCCAACAATCTGCCCTGTCCGCGGATCGTCTAGAAACAGATAATGCATCAGACTGCCCCACCACGCACACACACGGTGCGGTCCACGGAACCGCACGTCGCCCACAAGCGAGTGCCGCCCGCGCGCATACGGCGGGAATGCGTGATGCACGCCAATGTGGTCCTCGGGCGCCCAGTAGACCTCGAAGTAGGCAAACAGCACGTCGTCAAAGGCCGCCAGCAGCGTCAACACGTGCGGGTCATCGTGCAGCGTTTGCAGGTACTTGCGGTGCTGGTCGAGCGTGCCCGTCTCGTTCCAGCCGCGGGCGACGCGCGGGTCGTTCTGCCACTTGTGGAAGAGCTCGAGGTGTGCGGGCAGCGTGTGGTCGAGGGCGACCATGCTGAAGTGCTCGCCAAGATGGGGGATGAAGCGGCTGTAAACGGTGGTACCGGGCGCGGGTTTCGCGGGACGAATGGGATGGTGGGCGTGTACGCGCGAAGATGGAAAGCCGGTGGTGAGGCGGTGGGAGAGTGGTGGGAGGGGGTATTGAGAAAGGGGTTTCACGGGCGATCCGGGGGCGTTTGGCTCAGGGAGCCAGAGAGGGCGAGGGCCGAAGGGGGAGGAGGCCCCTTGCCAGAAGGTGCTGCGGAGAACGAGAATAGGGAGATCGAGAGCTGGAGTGGCACTGTCGGTGGGAGACGGGTGTGATGTTGCGAGCAGGGTATTAAGGAGGTGATCTCTGATTGTGTCTGAGCCTCCACCAGTCAGATTGAGGCGAAAGTGCTCGATGTCGGTATGAAGGGAGTAGAGCGCGTATATGACGAGCCATACTTGTGCGGGCGACGGTGCAGAGTTTTGCCAGGTGAGGGTTACGGACGGAGAGCGTTGTGCGCGTGCCCACCAGAGGTTGTTGGATTCTGGAGGTTGGTCTTGTTCGGATGGGATTTCAGGAAGCGTGAAGTAGAGATCGACATTGTGAAGTATTTCTGGGGGTTCCTGTGCCGTCCGGAGAGAAGACTTGGGAGATCGAATTCGATCTAGGAAACAATGCAGTTTTCCGGAAATACTCTTTTCCTTGATGCCGTATGCGGTCAAGTAGGGATGTGGAAGCTTGAGAATAAAGTCTTTCGGAGAAGGACTTGTACTGTTAGTCGTCGCCATGATTCAGAGCTGGCGATGCCGCGATTGAGTGTCAATTGACTTCACGATAACACTGTTGAGCTGGTGTTGCAAGAATGGGCCGGGAGCTTCTCAGGTATGACATGACGCAGGTAAATCCTCCAGCGTCGAGCCGTGAACATTGAGCACGTGTGGACAAGGCTCAGAACTTTTTGAAACGAACCGCGGAGGCATGGGAGAGAACATAGACCAGGGACGGTAGAGATGCATCATGCGTGGGGTTGGTGGTGGTGGATACAGAGCGATTCTTTAGCACTGTGAGGGATGGTGACAGGGGGAGGGGGGGGGGGACTGAAGTGAACGTGTAAAGATAATGTGGACCTAGGATCCAAACAACCTTGAGCGGTCGGCCGAAACAATCTCGGGCAATGTTCATCTAATCAGATCCGATATCGGGTATACCGAGGCGTAGAAGTGCAGCCAATAAGCACCGTCATCCGCGCCGCATACGCCATTGCAGAGTTTTTTTATCAGATTGAATCCTTCCATCTGAAGGCGAGGCGAGGCACGGGATCCTCATCAGCCCACTCCGACAGCCGACGCAAACCCGGCCGTCTTTCCCTCTCTATTATCGAGTGGCTCCACTCTACTGCTTCGATCAACACTACTATGCCCTTACTATCCACTAGTCCCACGCCTGTAATTCCATCTGATAATCCCAATCCTTGACCAGATCATCATCCCGGCTTTGTCCACTAATTAACGAAATGCCTGCCAAGCAACTTCCAAATTGTGTAGGTGGAGCCCTTGTTACTTTGTTCCGCCAGGGTTGCCTCAATGCATTGCTGCTCGGAGTACTGCTGCGTCCTCGTGTCTCGTTACAGCGAAGACAAGCGACGTTCTCTGATTTCTACGACTGGCAGAGAAACCTGACGTGAATACCTAGACGTCGTGTCGTGCAAATTTAGGTCGGGATGAAGGAAAATAAGATCACGGTGAGTTGGTTCCAACTGTCTCTGCCAAAAAGCTCTCGAGACTAACACCGACAGGCGGGCATCAAGTCCATACGGTTTGGAGGATATCTCCGCTTACTCACACGTGCCGGCCCTACCACTCTCGACTACCTCCTCCTCCTAGGTGGTGTTGTCTTTGCCATTGCAGCAGGTGTACCATTTCCACTGCTCGGCATCCTCTTCGGCCAGCTTGTTGATGATCTCAATTCTTCCTCGTGTAGTGATTCGCAGGCTGGAAGCAATGGCCAGGTCAGCAGCGCCGTCACTCAGAAGGTTCTTTATGTCGTCTATGTTACCATCGCCAACTTTTGCTTCATTTACATCCATACGGGATGTTGGAGCTGGTTCGGCGAGCGTCTTGTTCGTCGACTGCGAGATGAGTACTTCCAGAGTCTTCTAAGACAGGAGCTCGCCTTCTTTGATGAAAGACCTGCCGGGGATGTGTCTTCACGTCTCACTACCGATCTAGACACCATCCAGGCCGGAACGTCAGAAAAGGTCGGCATTGTGATAGCGACCGTCTCGTACTTTGTCGCCTCCTACATTGTCTCCTTCATCAAAGATTCAAAGCTGGCTGGAATACTTGTTTCTCTGGTGCCCGCATATTTTCTCATGACCTTCATCGGAACACACTTCATCAAGAAGTATTCAGGGGCTGTGTCAACATCCATCGCCTCCGCCACGTCTATCGCCTCCGAGAGTTTGTCAAGGATCTCACTTGTGCATGCTTTCAACGCAAACTCTCGACTGGAAGCGAACTTCCTAAAGCATCTCAGTGATGCCCAGAAGGCTGGATATAAAAAAGCTGTTACTGCCGCTACTCAGCTTGCACTGCTCTACTTCATCGCATATTCGACTAACGCCGTTGCATACTGGCAGGGAAGTCGTACCATAGCAGCAGATGTAGACGAGAATGGTACTTCGTCATCCGTCGGCGCTGTCTATACTGTCATCTTCTTGCTTGTTGATGGTAAGCCACACAGAAGAAGACTTAGAGCTTATCATACTGACAGAACTAGCCTCTTTCATTCTGAGTCAGGTGGCTCCTTTCCTGCAGATCTTTGGTAGCGCCGTCGCGTCATCCGAGAGTCTGCACGAAACCATCAACAGGCCATCCAAGATCGACGGCACCAATCCTGACGGCGGCCAGAGCATCTCATCAGTGAATGGAGACATCCAAATACGTGATGTAGACTTCACCTACGTGTCACGCCCTGGAGTCCAAGTCCTGAAGAAGCTGTCATTAAATATCCCCGCGAACAAGCATACCGCTATCGTCGGTCAATCCGGTAGTGGGAAGTCTACCCTCGCAGCTTTGATAACTCGGCTTTACGATCCAGACTCAGGTACGATCACTCTAGATGGCATCGATCTCAAGCATCTGAACGTTTCATCACTCCGTGGCTCCATTGGTACTGTGCAGCAAGATCCATCTCTTTTCGACCGCTCCGTACTCGAAAACATCGCGTACGGTCTCTTGTGTGCTGCTGATCGAGACTCACCCATCAACAAGGCATTGCTTGACTCTAGCCTTCCAGACTTGGTCAAAGCTGTACAAGATGGCTCCGACTGGGATACTGCCATCAAAGCTAGCACCCCTGTTGTTACTGAAATCGTACGGAAAGTCAGGGATGCGGCTGCGGCTGCAGATGTTCTGCGCTTTGTAGATGGTCTTCAGCATGGTCTCGCGACATCTGTTGGCCATGTCGGAGGCAGATTGAGTGGCGGCCAAAAACAAAGGATCGCTGTTGCTCGCGCTGTCGTTCGAAACCCTCGCATTCTTCTTTTGGACGAGGCTACATCATCACTCGATTCTCGCAGTGAGCAATCAATTTTAAAAGCTCTCGAAAATGTGTCACAGGGAAGGACCACTATCGCCATTGCCCATCGTATTTCTACAATCAAAAAAGCCGATAACATCGTTGTCATGAAACACGGAGAGCTCATTGAACAAGGCAGCCATGCCGAGCTCATGGCATATAATGGCATCTATGCGAGCATGGTTCGTCTTCAGGAAGTTGGATCTGGTGACGTTGACACAACTTCTGCACGCACATCCATGACAACTTTGCGCGCTGACGAGGTCAATGTGAAGTCTGACGAGGAAGCAAAGTTTGTCGATAGCAAAGAGGCCGTACCTGATACCTTAGAAGCATCGTCACAGGAGGAGGCTCCACTGGATGAGAAGGTGGCGGAAACCAGCAACAAGAAGCAGAAGAAGGATAAGAAGAAGAAAGAGAAGACGATCCTTCCCCTTGGTGCTACTCTTCGTGGGGTGGGACGACTCGTGCGGCCCCATCTACTCTGGGCATTTATCGGCTTTACAGGTTCCATCATTGTTGGAGGCTCATACTCTGGTGAAGCTGTAATCTTTGGACACACTATATCGGCGTTAAGTCCGTGCCAAGATGGTAACACTATCAGAAGTCGTGGTAGCTTTTTCGCTCTCCTATTTTTCGTCCTTGCTGTTGTCGAATTCTTCGCCAATTTGGTCAGTGGATCATTATTCGGAATGGTATCGGAGCAGGTCCTTCTCAAGGCTCGGCAAGCATCGTTCCATACGGTTTTGAGGAAAGACATCACATGGCACACTACCAATGACCGAAACTCTGCAACGCTCCTTGCATACATCACGACCGACACCAATGCCGTTGCAGCTTTGACAGGAACAACGTTGGGTGTCTTATTTGCAGTCACCATCAACTTTGTTGCAGGAATCATTCTCTCCAATATCATAGCCTGGAGGATTAGTCTAGTACTCATGGCTTGTATACCTGTTCTCTTAGGATCCGGGATAATGCGCATTCGTGTGCTGGCTCAGTTCCAAGAGCGCCATCAGAAGGCCTTTGCACAAGCTACCTCAATCACTGTCGAGGCGGTGAACTCAATCAGAACGATTTCGCTGTACTCTTTGGAGAAGGTGACTCATGGAGTCTATCGAAGGTCGCTCTCAGAGCCATACAAAGCTACCGTCAAGTCTATCGCCTACAGTAACGTCTGGCTTTCTACTGCGTACAGCGTTAGCAACCTGGTCTACGCACTTGGGTATTGGTGGGGCACCAAGAACATCGTTGAGGGTCGCTACTCGCAAACTCAGTTCTTCATCGTCCTCCCAGCTTTGTTATTCAGCGCACAGTCTTGTGGTCAACTATTCGCTTTGGCTCCTGACTTTGCTCGCTCCCGAGTCGGCGCAGCACGAATACTTGACCTCATCGGCCTAGGCAATAAAAAGATCAATGGCCCCCTCGACCCCGCGGTCGACCCTCACTGCTACTCTCATTCAAAGAACTCAGGCGATACTGAAAAGACTCCAGGCGCATCATCATCCGACCATACACCTTCCACACAGAGCGGCGTGGGCATCAAGATTCAAGACGCTGTCTTTGCATACCCTAACCGCCCTGACTCCATCATTCTCAAGGGTCTCTGCCTCGACATCAAACCCGGCCAATTCTGTGCCCTTGTAGGCCCCTCAGGCGCTGGAAAGTCCACCATAATATCACTCATTGAGCGCTTCTATGACCCATCTTCTGGGACTGTAGAAGTGGACGGGCGGAATCTTGCCCTGCAGCATGGTACGGACTTTCGCAACGATATCGCCATAGTACCTCAAGAAAGTGTACTGTTTGAAGGGAGCGTCAGGTTCAATCTGAGTATCGGCGCAAGCCCAGGTCACGAGGCGAGTGACGAGGAGATCGAAGCTGCGTGCAGGTTGGCGAATATTCATGATACCATTGCAGCGTTACCAGATGGCTACGACACACGCTGTGGGCCCAATGGTACGGCTTTTTCAGGTGGTCAAAAGCAACGCCTCTCCATCGCGCGTGCTCTGGTCCGTAAGCCCAGACTACTACTACTTGATGAAGGTACGAGTGCGCTGGATGCGGAGAGCGAAAAACTGGTGCAGGACGCTCTGGAGAGGGCGGCGCGGGGCATCACGGTAGTTGCGATTGCGCATCGTCTGCGCACAATTGAGCGTGCGGATCGGATCTTTGTGATCGAGGAGGGTGTTTGCACAGCAAGTGGGACACACAGAGAATTATTGGAGAGCAGTGAGACGTACAAGGTGAATGCCTTGCATCAGACACTGGATAGAAAGGAGGATGCAGACGATACACCTGCTCAAGGGCCGTCAAGCACGTAATTGTTGTCTGACATATATAGATTTATATATGTAATTCCTCTAGCTGTCACTAATATAGGGCGACGTTGCATGTTATTAATCTTGCCTCCTGGATATGTTTTCCTGTGCGTGCGAGGCCTATACTTGTTCTTCCTAACTCGCCACGCATCTTATCAATCTTATCTTCTCACTCGATCTTGCGAAGTCGGACATGCACAAAAGATTTGAATCTAATCGATCTTATCAATCTCATCTATCCGAGGATCCATCCCCATTACCCATCTCGACAGCCCCTCACCCGCTCGAATTAAGTCTGGAGAGCCGTCCTTCCGTCGGTTCCTTCCCGGACCGCGTAGATCTGACGATGGCTAAAGTTTGTACCATCTACGCCCCAGTGCTTCATGATACCTTCTCTTGACTTGACCGGTCCCCCAGATGGTTGATCTGCTCACGCCGTCGCTGACTCTGACCTCATTGTCTCTCTTTCTGACCTCACGTCTCGATGGCTCTATTACTACTGGCTGGCACTACTCGCAGCATTAGTGCATCTTGCATCCTCGTCGTTACCCGCATGACTCTGTTCGTCGCATCATCTTCTGCGTTGCGATGGCTCATAGACTACTGCTGGATGATATTATAGTCTTGGACAAATGCTATTGAACGCGTAATCAATGCAATATATATGCATCACCACTTTTTGGTCGTTTCTGAAGGCATTGTTTGCGAACTGAATTCGTTCGGCGGCCAGCTTATGACCCGACAGCTTAGGCCACAACTTGACAGCCATTCAACAGCTGCACGAGGCAGTTATCGATGACATGTTCAGTTCACACGAATGTGTACTTGCTCTGCAGTCGTGACGAGGCTGTTGACTTTGTGATCCACGTTATTCGCGTGTCGCTGCATCAGATGTACGTTTCGCCTGTCCCGCCATTACATATGCTTCATCCAGGTCTCAGCGGCAGAGACAGTCGTTACAGACGCAATTAGTGGATGCCTCAGGCAAGTATGGCATGCATTGTCGAGACGAGATGTAAGCATCATGATGACCTCTAAGCGCTAAGCTACTGTGAAGATGAGCTTCAATTCGTTGCACGTAGAATACCTGGCACCCGACACTATGTGGGGTAACAAATTATGGTTCCAAATACTAGAGTTCATTTTCGCCAAACCCATTCATTCGCTGACAGTAGCACCATGGCATCACAATATCTCAGCAGCTCCGTTCCTTCGCGGCACAAGTGAATAATTTCCCACTCTCGCTGCACTCTCGCAAAAACACCGCAACGAGGATACGAGCCAGGCCTGCTGTCGATCGCATAGGAGCCGACATTCGACAGCAATTTTTGGGTGGCTGGCAAGCCGGAGCGGCGCCTTCGCGAATCGCGCGAGCCGCTGCCTCCCTGCCGCGAGTCAGTAGACAGGAGCAGAGGACTGGCTCCTTTTACGTTATTCCCACTGTGTGAAACATAGCATAATTAAAAAGTTTCAACCAAAACGTGCTATTGTGTCCTGGGCCGTTGACCTCGCCTGCCTGCCAGGGACCTGTCGGCCGACGGATAGAGAGTAGATGAAAACTTTCATCTGATAAGACGACGAAATTTTTATCTGATCTAGCTACGCCTTATACGTCCAATCAGGCTTATCAGATGACACCGGGGGGGCTCTGGGGGGGGGGGGCGGCATGGGCAAGCCACAGGCCCAAAGACACTGACACTATGTACCCTGGCAATCGACACTAAGTTGGATGGAACATCTGAGCGTCGGGTGTTTTCATGGGCTGTTGTGGAGATGATTCCATCGTCTGAGTACACTGCATACAGACAGACTGTCCATCTCCGCAGCCTAAACCAGATGCGATCCCACGATACTAACTCGAGTTACTCGACACGAGTTCAAAGGATTTAAATTGCACGTTTCCAGGCCTGCGCACCCTCATGGCTACTTTTACAATCCGTGCTCGGTATTTTAAGCGCCTTAAAGCACCCCACCCTTGGTTTACACACTAATAGGACCAACCTGAAATGCACCATCCATGGTCTATTGGCGAGACGTGACCGACCGATGGGCCCCGAAGCCAACCGAGCTACACAGGCACACGCGCCTACAGGGGTATTACGAACCTGGGTGACGTAGCAACTAGACTTGGTGACAACTTTTTTTTGCGACCTTTGTCGGGCAAATGCTCAGACCTCGTTTGGGTCGACCTGCCTGTTACAAGCTATTTGGCCGTGACAGGATTAGCCCAGCAGATCGCGTGACTATTTCCACTCTTCGGTACAGAGACTGCTGAACACTGCAGATCGAGAACCATTTACCTGGAATATTCACTTGGCCCTGCATTAAGCTGAGTGACTTTGATAGACAGCACCAGTCCTAGCAGACGCTTGATCATCCACTACGAACAACAGGCCTGAAGCAATGTCTATCGAAGCATCATCCACTGGTGCTGTGCGAGAAGCACCATGTTCTCTGGCAGCCAGCAAGACCGGCTCCTATGATTATGTCTTCGTTGGTTTCGGCCCATCATCATTGTCCCTCGCCATTGCTATCCACGAACACGATGCCTCGAAAAGAATTGTTATTTTGGAGCAGCAGCACCGATTCCATTGGAAACCCTCAGCTTTTCTGCCGACAAACCACATGAGAACGTCTTTTCTGCAAGACTTGGCCATGCAACGAAATCCTCGATCGGAGTTTACATTCGTCAATTACTCTTGGGAAGCCGGTGGCAGAGGTGGGTCACAGCAAATGGACGCGTGGTTGAATCTTGGCTCAATGAAGCCTTCACGAGAGGTCTGGGGTCAATATCTTGCATGGGCAGCCCAAAAACTAGAGAATATGCCGAACGTCGAAATCAAATATGGCAAGGAAGTCATTGGAACCAAGGCTGTAAATCCACCACCAGTTGCTGCATGGAATGTTGCTGCAAAAGACACCGTTTCGCAAACAGTCGACATCCTTAACGCAAAGAAGATCATATTTGCAACAGGGGCGAAAATGAGGATACCTCCTGAGTTGAGATTCATCGGTCTGGATAACCGTGTCGTGCATACAGGTAATTTTGCAGAGCTTGGAGATGGTTTGACAAAGCACAAAAATGAGCCATCGAATGTCGCTGTTGTGGGAGCGAACAATGAGGCCGTAGAGGTATTCATGCATCTTCACGCTGCCTTGCCCAATGCAACGGGAACCTTATTCGTCAACGATCGGACACTCAGACCAACAGATGGGAGCCCTTTGTAAGATGTCCCCAATCTCACTTTATAAAATTGTCGATTGACATCTATTAGCACCGCACAGCTGCTGCACACACCGACTGGTCCATCCCGGATCTTACCATACGAACTCCGCCGGAAATCACCCTCACAGCCGGATCAGCCTTCCAAACCCCGGCCGACAGTCGCCGAAGAAAATCTAAACGGCCTTTACGAGATGCTGTACATGCAAAAGGTCGCCTATCGCGCTCAGCGCAAGAATAAATTCGCCATTAACTTCACACATACCGTCTCATCTTTGACTCCCACTCCTGGCTCACCTAAGGTCACAATAAGGCTCACGCCAAACACGCCAGTTACGACGATAGACGTCCCAGAAAACAAGCCGTACGACTTAGTAGTCCTTGCGACTGGCGATGAACGTGCGGACCTGCATTCGATGCTGAGCTCAGTGTCTCACCTTTACGACGGAAACAAATTGACTGTTGATGGTAATTATAGGGTGAATTTCCAACGGAATGCGGTTGCCCGCGATACCGGCATCTGGGCATTGAATGCGCTGGCCAGCAGTGAGGAGAATGTTTTTGAGTTTCTGGGACTTAGAAGTGAGAAAGTTTTGAGGACGTTGCTGCAGGTTCAGGAGCCGAAGCAAGTGTCGGGTAAGAAAGGGGTTATCGAGGCTAGTGTCTTATAGATAGTGAAACGCTTATATGTGTTTCGATAACTGAGAGGCACTTCACGTAGCTCTCATTGACGAGTCTTATCTGCTCCGAGAGCTGAAATCATACTGTGTTAGTCGTGAGACTTAGGGTGTAAAGTACTAAACATGCCAGATCAAGATGTGTGTATGGTTCATATGCAATAAATACAAACATACGTTCGCAGTCATGTTTGCCTTGCCAGTCAGTACTAGAGCTCTAGTCCGGAACGCCCCTTGCTATGAGGCAAATACTGCATAGCACACACCAGGTTTGCATCGGTCTACAACCTCGCGCGATCTGCACCCTCCGTCGTCTTCACATCTTCCACCTCGTTTGTCCTCGACAGAGCCTCCTCACCGGCCTGCCTCAATTCAAACTTCCGCACCTTACCACTCCCGGTAATGGGTACAGTATCCGGAATTCCATTCATACCCAGCCAAAACACATGCCTAGGCGCCTTATGCCGACCCAGCACCGCACGCGTCCACTCACGGACTTCCTCATCCTCAGGTCTCTGTGCACCCTCTTCCAACTCTAAAAATGCACCCACAACCTCGCCATAATGCTCATGATTGATCCCCGTCACTACCGCACGCGCCACACTCGGGTGCGCGGACAGCCGCTCCTCGATCTCTAGTGGATAAATGTTTTCGCCGCCGCGGATGATAATGTCCTTGAACCGGCCTGTTATGGCACACAGTCCGTCGTCGGTCAGCACTGCCTCATCGCCCGTATGTAGCCATAACACGCCGTCGCCGTCCAACCGGAATGCTTCCTGGGTCTTCTGCGCGTTGTTAAAGTACCCGCTGCACAGCTGGTATCCAGCCACGCACAGCTCGCCGCGCACGCCGCGCGGCACCGGCCGACCGGAGCGCGAGATTAGTTTGACCGAGCAGTGCGGCATGACGCTGCCCACGGTGGCGAGTTTGAGAGCGGTGGGCAGCGTGGTGGACGCATTGAAGACGGTCGGCGAGGCTTCAGTGAGCCCGTAGGAGGATGTGAATTGTGTCATGCCCCAGTCGTGCACCATCTTGTGCATCAGCGCCTTAGGCACTGGGGCACCGGCGATGATGCCGGTGCGTAGGCTCAGCTGTGCGCGAAACGAGGGTGGTTGCGGGAGTGCAAAGAGCGAGTCGATCATGGCAGGTACACCATGGAGCGCGGTGCATGACTCCGCGACGAGGGCAGCGAGGGTGGCCTGGGCGGAGAATGTTTCGGCGGGGTAAACGATCTTGCCGCCGTGGGTGATGGCGGCGAGGAGGCCGAGCACGAGGCCGAAGCAATGAAAAAGGGGCGGCGGACAGCAGAGTACGTCGAGCGCGGTCAAAGCCATACGGTCGCCAATGAAGCGGGCGTTGTTGATGAGGTTGTGGTGGGTGAGCATGGCAGCTTTGGGCCCACCGGTCGAGCCGGATGTGAATTGCATGTTGCAGACCGAGTGTGTGGAGATTTGCTTTTCAAGCGACGTGAGCTGGCTGAGTGAGCGGGAAGAGTGAGATACAAGCTCGGTGTAGGTGCGGTGGGTGGTCGAGGGGCCGGTGAGAAGAATGATTTCTTCCAAGACCGGCGTACGCTCAGGAAGGGTTGAGAGAGCACGAAGAAGCGGTTCTTGCGAAAGCGTACCAATGCGGAGGGTCGTGAAGAGGAGGCGGCATTCTGGCGTGGGCGTTGGAGGAAGTTGATGAAGAGTGGTATAGGGAGAAACATACGTGTATATTGAAGCGTGTTTTGTGCCTCCTCAGCAGTGTATGTGTTATTGAGGAGTACGATTATGGCACCGATTCTTGTCGTTGCGAAGAACAGCGAGACGAATTGTTCACAGTTTCCTGCCATGACACCAATCTTGTCCCCGGGTCGGATGCCCATGTCCAAGAGAGAGTTGGCAATCAAGATGGTTTGGTCGCGTAGCTGATTGTAGGTCCATCTTGCCCCTGTCCAGGGCACAACAAGGCACTCTCGCGGGCCATATTTGCTAACTTGAAGGTCAAGGAGTCCTCCAAGAGTCAATGTAACTAATGGGGGGCTTGACGGCCCATGAACAATGGATAGAGACGGCAGACGAGACTGGAATGCCCGTTGGCGGGTGCTTTCTTCCTCAGAGGTCGACATGAGTTATAACTGTCAAAGAAGCTGCAGAACAGACACATCCAAAGTCACTTTGCCCACCCATGAACAAGCTCATGAAGATTTTGATGTCGACAGTGGCTTTCCAGGGGCTCGGCCGTGCCTGACGTATGCACCAACAGTGGACCCTGTGGTTCCAGAGCGATATTGCAGAACGGAATACATAGATGGCTCACTGAAATCGGTGCATAATTATTAGACTAGGTATTAACGCTAAGGTTGCAAAATGCAAAGAAGAGAAGGCACAAGGATAGGGATGTGTAGCATGACTGACTGAACAGCGTTAGGGGGGGGGGAGGGGGGGGTAACAGAAGAGGGAAGGTGGACGATCGTGTAGAATAGTGATGAATAGTGGAGAATAATAGTTAGTGGTCGTCCTCCAATGGTGATTCTCTGTTTGTGCGGCCGTAGGTCGGAGATCCTCCTTATCTTGTCAGATGTCAGATGATCCATCCAGCGACCAAGATCTAGCGTGGGGGCTGGGGATCATCGATTGGTCATCGAAGCTCAATTTTTCAATAACGACTCCAACCGTCCAAAACCCACACTCACGTATTGCTGCAAAATAGAATTCAACAAGCTAAACCAACCTACCACTCCCATACGCCGCCTGGCTTAACACTATACGCCCTATAACGACCACCCGCGCTGAGGATGCGAACGGGATCCGATTGGCTGGCACACTCTCGACAGTCCTGGCCATCATGAGGATGTCGAGAAGGGAGGCTCTGTTGCGTGCGCGTCATAGGCTTCTTCGCTAGTTGAAGCTGCTAATGCTACTAGGTCAATGCACACACTTTACGAGTTAATTATTGCCTGGCGTTCAAGATCAATGGTGGGAGTGCGGCATGTCATCGTATTCAGCTTCCATGTACGGGCTGGATTCACTTTGTCGGTGCTCAAACTCGATTTCAACTCGTTTCGACATAACTCGTTTCGACATAACTCGTTTCGACACATCGTTGGCCACGAGTGACTGTGTACAGACGGATAATACGAGTCATTCGTCGTTTGAGTATAAGAATGAAAATGCCGTGTGGCCAATAATCTTACTCTGACTTCTTTTGAACTTATTGATTCCACCGCCATTGCGAAACATTTCCGGCAACTACGATTATGGCTACGTCATTATATCTGACGCCAGTCCCCTCCCTAAACTCGGTATTGAATTCATCAAAGCTGTCTGTGAATAATGAGCGAGCTGCACATAACTTTGCATACTTGGAGCACGACTTGGGAGAGGCATTTGCTTCCCGCTCAGAAGACGAGAGTATCAATGCTTTCGTTCGATTCCTCTTTGCATTCACTGGCTTGAGAGAACTATGCTTCGAGTTGACCTACGGTTATTCCGGGTCTAGCAATTTTAAACACTTTTGTATCGTAGCAACATGCGAGCCAGACAGCCCTATCAGTTCCCCCGGCGCAAATCACAGCCCTATCATCGATATGACTCGCCATGATTGGAGCAATGTCTCAGACTCCTGCAGCCCTGGGTTTGTGTTGAGCCTGCCCACGGTTCAAGAATGCAATGATCTCCAGAACTATAGTCCTTCCAATGCAGTAAGTTGCATCATCTACTGTTCATGCTATCTAGAGCTTTGCTATAGGACACACAACTGATACCGATATACAGTGTTTGGTTATCGAGATTTGCCGAAGCAGGATTCGTTTGCGATATGACTGTGCATTGATGCCCGTGAAAATCGCCTCTTCTGTCTTTGCTTCTCTCTTGTCATATCTTGGACAGAGCGGTGTGACTTTGAGGAGGTCGGTAATCAATTACCCGCCTCATCCAGAGCCACCGCTCCTCCGACAAGATGCAAACTGGTCGGAAGGGAAACCTCCGATTGGACTGCATACTGCATTCGAGCGTCGAGCAAAGCAATATCCGGACCGGATTGCACTGGATTTCCTCAGTCATGCCAAAACATCTGCCAGACCTGCAATTCATGAGATCTTGTCGTATGCTGAGCTAGACTCCGTCTCGAGCTATCTCAGTGCTAAGCTCCTAGAACACTTTTCTAAAAATTCTCATCAGTGTCAACCTATCATTCCGTTCTGTGCTTCTACATCTGTATCATTCTATGTCTCCTGGCTCGCTGTTTTGAAAGCCGGCTTTGCTTTCTGTCCTATACCCCTTGACGCCCCGAACTCGCGGATACATGGCGTATTTCAGGACATATCTGCATCAATTGCACTTGGTTGTGGCAAAAGGTCAAGCCAAAGGGTACTGGCTGCAGATGAACAGTCAGGCCAAAAGTACCTCGATTCATTACATTGGATCGACGTCGAAGAAGTCTTCGCAGACTGGAGATCGCTGCCTCAGGACCAACATGCTGTCAGAAGATCAGTCGATGTACTTGGTACAGACTTGGCGTATGTTATGTCTACAAGTGGATCTACAGGGAGCCCAAAAGGTGTCCGGATATCCCATCTCGCTGCAACTATTACCATTAGTTCTCATGAGCGACTCCTTAGTGACAGCTGGTACGCTCATGAGTTTCGGTGGTTTCAGATGGCACCAACAACATTTGATCCATCGGTGGTGGAAATGTTCCTAACATGGTCCACTGGCGCCACTTTGTGTTCGAGTCATCGCGAACTCACCCTCACTGATCCAGAAGGTACTATCAACGAGCTCTCTGGAAACATCGTCTTTACAACTCCAAGTCTGGCTAGTGTACTGCATCCTGAAAATGTACCTAGTTTAAGGTGCCTCTGGGTATCTGGGGAAGTTATAAATCCCAAAGTTGTCCAGAGCTTCGCGCGTGACTCACCAGCACGATCTAGTACATTCAAAGATGGGTTGTCTTACGAGGGCTTGACCAATATTTATGGACCGACTGAAGCTGCTATACATTGCACAGCTTCCGTTGATATATTGGTCAACGACAGACGGACTGTCGTTGGTACCCCGTTTGAGACATGTTCCCTGTTTATAATAGATCCTAAAGCTGCAGGTACGACCATACTCCCTATGGGCTTTTCAGGCGAGCTTGCTATTGGAGGCCCTCAGCTTAGCGAAGGCTATCACAATCGACCTGACCTGACCGCAAAAGCCTTCGTGACGAGCCCTGAGTTTGGTCGCATGTATCGAACAGGAGATCGTGCACGATTTGTACAGAGTCCGTCTGGTCAGCTTGTTGTGGACTTTCAGGGCAGATTGAATGACGATCAAGTCAAATTAAGTGGCAGAAGAACTGAGCTAGGGGATATCGAAGCTGCGTTCGTCGACGTCGAAGGCATTCGGGAGTTGGCTGCGACAGTCTTCAAGTATGATGAGTCTGCTATTGGGTCAGAAAGACCAGTAGTATGCGTCGCTCTCAAGCCTGACACTGATGAAGAGATTCTCCTTTCAAATTGTCGACAAATAGCTGAGGCGAATTTGCCTGCCTATATGCGTCCAGCTGAGTATTTCTTCGTTGATGCCCTACCGCGTACGTCGTCAGGCAAGGTGAAAAGATCGATCCTTCAGCAGATCTTCAGTGACTATCGTACATCCAAGCTCGGCAACAATCAAAGTACAAATCTAGATGAAGATTTGGACGATGAAGTGGTTGAGACACTCCGACTTTGCATTGGTAAGCTACTTGGTATTCCGGTGAAATCCATCAAGCTCAACGAGCCTTTGATCGGCCTTGGAATCGACAGTCTACAAACGGTGCGGCTGCTTCAACTTCTACGAATGAATAAAGTCACTGGTTTGACCGTCAGTGACGTGTTGCAGAGCCAAACTATCAAAAACATTGCCAATTTATACCATACAAAGTCGAAAAATCATGATCAATGTAATTATTCCCCGCCGTCAAGACACTGGATTTTAGCTGCTTTCCGCCAGAAGCACGAATCCAACTGTGTCAAAACACTGGGTCTAGCGCCAGATGACTTGGAAAATGTGCTTCCAACAACGGCAATCCAGACAAGTATTCTTGCAAGTTTTGTCAAAAACCTACCAAAGTCACGCAAGGCATTCATTGAGCATTCAATATACCGGCCAGCACAATATGTTGACATGGACCAGTTGAAGGAGGCCTGGATATCATCGTTACAAGACGCCCCCATATACCGCACCGTGTTTACCGAGGTCGACGACGCGCTCTCGCCATTCGCTCAGTGTATTCTAAGTCCCAGTTCAAAATTTTCAGATGCACGATCGAGGGTCATTGAAAATTCGTCCAGATCAGCAAACAAGACTCTGGATACTATCATCATGGATATTGAGAGAAAGATCGACCTCACAGAGCCTCCCTGGATTCTCTCTTTTATATCGGAGAATGGTACCACGGTTATTATATTGAGCCAATGCCATGCAATATTCGACGGCGGATCTATGCAACTACTCGAAGAAGCTGTGTGGGAACGTTACCATAATCGTGACATCACAAAGAGGACAACGGTCGATATCGCCGTCGCTAGACATTTTGACGCCGACCACATTGACGCAGCAGACTATTGGAAAGCCCAATTTCAAGACTTCACTCCGGTTAAATTTCCTTGCTTATCATATGCGAGGCCGTCCCTAGTATCCTCAGACTCGATGGTGACAGAGACTACTGCGAAGTTGAGTTTCTCGTCGTTGATCCAAGGCGCCAGAAAACTTAAAGCTTCACCGCTCGCAACTCTACAAGCAGCCTGGAGCATAATTCTCATGGCCTTTAGTGGATACTCCACTGATGTAGCCATGGGCAGTATCGTGTCTGATCGACTAAATGAAGACCTTACCAACTGTATCGCCTTGACACATGCAATAGTTCCATTAAGAGTAAGAGCGAAAGCCGACGATAGGGTATCTGATGTGCTACAACGCTTGACGAAGCATAGCTCCGAAGCTATCAATCACCATCAAATGCCACTTGACGCACTAAGAACCACAGAAAATACTATGCTATACGATACCACACTAGCATTTCAGGCTTTTACGCAAGCATCTAATGCGCAGGCTCTGTGGGGACCTGTGGAGACACCTGCAATGAACGCAGACATTCCGATCATGCTTGAGATCTTTCCACAGGAGAAAGACGAGCTACAACTTCGAGTCACGTATAAGAATGCGCACCTCAATCCATCAGCAGCATCAATGCTACTGGTACAGTTTGGGGACATTATCACTTGGCTCTTAGAGAATCCGGCAGCACGGTTCCTTGATGCCCAATTTGCAGGCCAAAAAAGTACTTTATCAATATACCCAGTAGAGGCTTGCAACACGCAGAATACATCTGAGATCTTGTTGCACGATCTCTTCCAGCGGAACATCACTGGATCATCGTCAAAAGTAGCTTTTGAGTTTCAAGCGCAGCTTAACAACGCCAGCAATGTTACCCAGTGGACGTATGAAGAGCTTGATTTGAGAGCTACGAATCTGGCTGGTATCCTCGTACAGAAATATGGCTCTCTGAGAAAGTGTATAGTTCCTATCTGCATGGATAAATGCCCAAAGCTGTACATCGCCATCCTGGCTCTTCTGAAAGCAGGAGCTGCTTGGTGCTCAATCGATGCTACATTTCCCTCCAACAGGAAACGAGAGCTTATCGCAAGATCAGGCGGGCCAATAGTGCTTGTTCATGAGTCGTGCACGCCTGATTCTGTTCCCGGTGGGGTTATTATTGTAGACCTCTCCTCCCAGGACCTTAATGTTAACCCTCGAAATAGTACCACACCAGCCGTTGATCCACCGCAAATATCTGAAGACGATATGGCGTACATGATATTTACATCAGGGACCACTGGACCCCCAAAAGGCGTGCCAATCACGCACAAGTCTGCAGTAGCAGCAATCAAGGCCCTAGCACACGCTATTCCCACGGATGTCAAAGGAGGTCAAGTTCGATGCCTCCAATTCTCCGGCTTCACTTTTGATGTCTTCGTCCAAGACCTTTTTTACACATGGGCAGTGGGAGGAGCCGTCATTTCTTCGACGCGTGAGATCCTTCTTGGCTCTATCACGGAACTTTGCAATGCAACGAGGGTGACGCATATCCACTGCACACCTGCATTTGCTGGTACACTCTCACGCAAAGATTTCAACACGGTGGAGGTCGTGACCATGATTGGGGAAAAGCTATCGCAATCTATCGCAGATGATTGGAGTCAGGGTACTAGAGCCTACAACACCTATGGACCAGCGGAAGCAACGATTGTGTCAACGATGCGTCAATTCGGCGCAGATGGTGACTTGCACAACAGCTCCAACATAGGGCTCCCGCTACCGACCGTCGGAGCGTATGTCCTTAAAGACGGGAAGCCTGTCCTCAGAGGTGCTCAAGGAGAGCTTGCACTGTCTGGGGTACAATTATCGCCCGGTTACTTCAAAGATCCAGAAATTGCTGCAAAGAAGTTCGTCTACAATACGATGTTGGACAGGCGAGTCTATCTCACTGGAGATATGGTTCGCCAGCTTTCCGATGGCACTTTTGAGTTCGTTGGGCGAGAAGACGATCTAATCAAGATCAGGGGCATCCGTATGGAGCTTAGTGAAATCGCATATTCGATACAGGAATGTCATAGCTCTGTTGAAAATGCTGCTGTTTTGTTTTGTGCGCCTACGGACACATCTGGTGATGAGAATATACTTGCAGCCTTTGTCGTCAGTCCGGAGTTCGCGGATACCCAGGATCTGAGAGCTCTCATAAATCCAAGAGCAGCTGTTCTTGCAAAAGAGATTGCTAGGTCGGCGGAGTTGGAATTACCCGAAGCTATGCTACCGAATATCTACCTCATGGTAAACCGCATACCCCATAGTGTTTCCAACAAGATCGATCGCAAAGCCCTCATCAGGCTCCTACATTTTAGCGACCTTTCTAAATGGAGATCCCTGATAGAGGGAGAAGGAGCATCGACGGCCAGTGACTTTAGCGCATGGCCAGCGAAACACGAAAGCCTTATCGAAATAGTGGCCAACCTTACCGGAGTTACAAGGTCCTCGCTTGGGCCTTCTAGTAGTCTTGCTGCTCTTGGCCTCGATTCCATCCGAGCAATTCGCCTCGTTGCTCGTCTAAGAAAAACTGGTTCCTCGATATCTGTCATGGAAGCTCTTAGTTCCCGTACTCTGGCAGATCTAGCAGCAAAGTCGTCATCATCGAATGCTGATGGAAATGCGACAAAGAGTTCGCTAGCCGGATTTAATAGTGACTGGCATGATCCAGTCAAGCGTCATATTACAAGAGGAGGCGCCTTCACAGTTGCTCCAGCTTTAGTCATACAGGAGAATATCCTCAGCGAGACATTGCGATCGCCGCAAGCATACTGGATTCACCGCGCCTCTTCTCTAGGCTCAGAGATCGACATGCCCCGTCTTCGAGCTGCATGGGAAAACCTGGCTTCTAATACATCAGCTTTACGTACTACTTTTCTCGCCACAGCTAGTGTCGCCAACGCCCCGAGCGCTGTTCAGGATCATGCTCTGACATTCCTACAAGTGATACATCAAGATGCGAATATCGACTGGTCAGAACGTGAAGTGACTGATTTTTCGCAAGAGTCTGCAAAGAGACGCGCCAACGAACTATACGTAAAGCATCATGAAGAAATGTATTCGCGCCCATTGTGGGCCGTAACCATCTTCAAACATGAAGAGGGCCGAACAATGCTGTTCAGTATACACCACTCGGTCTTTGATGGACCATCGTTAAGCTTCGTCATGGAAGATTTGCAGAGGTACTACGACGGTCTCTCAAAACCGACCAAACGTACTCAATTGGAAGACGCCGTCAGACAGTCCTCCGTTCTTGACAGCCAAGAAAATTGCAATACATTCTGGCGAAAGACGCTTCATGGATTCTCTGATAATGATGAAGCAGACGGCCTTGTCGGCCTCCGAAGCAAGTCAAACTCTGACGACAACATCGTACACCGGACGCAAGAATTTGAGAGTAGCTTGAGTTACCAAAAGATTCGCGACGTAGCTTCAAGGTTTCACATGACGTCGGCCTCAACGATAATCCGACTTGCATGGTGTCTCCTGCTCTCGGAGATGCTAGAAAAAGAGAACGTACTACTTGGAGAGGTAGTGGACGAGCGCGTTGTGCACCCTGATCTTGCGACGGCTATTGGACCCCTTGTTTCGACGATACCTGTTCCGTTCAGAAAGATGCCAGGGCTCATGAGTGATGTCTTAAAGACCCAGAGTCAGCTTTACAGGAGTGTCATGGCAAACCGTTCAGTCAGACCACGAGTAGTCAAAGAAGCCTTGGGCCAAGATTCCAACGATATACTCTATCCGGCACTTTACATTTTTAATGTTGAGAACGAACCCGTTGATGAGAAAGACGGAAAACCCTCTTTGTGGACCCAGACACCGGATATGCTTGACCTCTCTGTTGAGCATCCATTGGTGCTGCACGTATGGCCCAAGGCAGAAAAGCTACATTTTGAACTTTCTGTCGACCAGAGTATAGTATCTGATGAACAACAGCAGCTACTCTGCAAACAGCTTGATGCATTAGTCACTGCCATGGTGTATCATGTTGATAAGCCCATTGAACACCTCACTTCCTTTCTCCCAGAAGAACTATTGTCAATCACACCACACAGAGAAACGAGAAAATTTCCTGTTACCGTTTCCCCGACCTATTGGGTTGAACACTGGGCGGAAATACAGCCAGATTGGAAAGCTGTAGAGATTGCTAGCCAGATCCATGATACTCATGCGGACTCTGTATGCTGGACTTACAGTGAGCTTAATGCAGCTGCAGAGCGGGTTGCACGATTTTTACGCACAAAGAATGCCCACCGGAAGGCCATCGCTGTCTGTATGGGTAGGACCCTATGGTCTTTTGCCGTGGCGATTGGAATTATGAAATCTTCAAACTGTTACGTTCCAATAGAAGAGAGCTTCCCCGCTGAACGAAAGTCCTTTCTCCTTGAGGACAGTGGTGCAACACTAATCTTCAGCACTGAAGGGCTTCTCGATGACGTTGTTATCCCGTATGCCTGCAAAGTGATCGGTAGCAACGATGATGATATTGAGCGCTGCTTAGATGAGAGCGACGAACAGGAGACGAATGACACAAATGAAGAAAACCTTGACGATAATTCCTACCTCCTCTATACATCTGGCTCTACGGGCAGACCGAAGGGTGTCATGGTCAGCCGTGGTAACCTGAGCGCTTTTACTGAAGCCCAGTCTGACTTTATCTGTGAAGTTGTCCCCGCTACCAGAAATCTAGGAGGTAAAGGAGCCTACCTTTGTCTTGCCAGCCGCGCCTTTGATGTTCACATTGGAGAAATGTTTCTTGCTTGGAAACATGGACTTTGTGCTACATCTGCTTCGCGAACGATCCTTCTAGACGACCTGGCCCTTGCCTTACGAGTACTTAGAATTTCACATGCCAGCTTCGTCCCATCGTTGCTCGATCAGACCGGATTAACGCCAGATGACGCGCCATATTTACACTATCTCGGTGTAGGTGGCGAGAAGATGTCTCAGAAGACGAAAAAGCTCTGGGGTGCTCATGACAGGGTCGGCCTCATAAATGCATATGGTCCAACAGAAGCTACGATTGGCCTTTGTTCTACAAAGTTGCTCCCGGACTCCAATCCCAGCAATATCGGCTCACCACTAGGTGATAGTAGAGCACATGTGTTGGTACCAAATTCAGAACAGTATGTCAAACGTGGTATGCCCGGCGAGCTCTGTTTCACTGGCAGCCTTATTGCAAACGGATATCACAACCGGCCAGATGCGAAAGGCTTCGTGGATGATTTCCGAGGATCACGCATGTATAGAACAGGTGACATAGTTCGCATGATGCCTGATTCCAGCATTCAGTTCCTTGGGAGGAAAGATGACCAGGTCAAGATTCGCGGACAGCGAGTAGAGCTTGGTGAAGTGTCCGAGGGTGTTCGTATGGCTTCCCGAGACCCTATTGATGTTGCTTCATTGGTGTTGAGGCACCCTGATAGTTCAAGATTACAGCTAGTGTCCTTCATTGCAACGTCCAGGTCAAATACAAAACAGAACCCCGAGCCGCCAACGGTTCTAGATGACACAGTCAAAGATATCAATAACACCCTGAGGGCTCTATGTCGCAAGTCACTTGCTGCATACATGGTTCCAGATTTAATTGTCCCGCTTAGCTATGTACCTCTCGCTGTCACCTCTGGAAAAGCTGAGAACAAGCTACTCACAAAAATATTCTTCGGTATCTCTCTCAGCATATTTCACGGGAACCTAGGCCGCCATGATGATAAAACAAACAGCATGCTGAATGATGAGGAAACTGCGATTCGCGATATTATCAAAGAAGTTATTCCCAAAGGAAGTGATAATGTAGCCCCCAGCACGACTCTGTTCGAACTTGGAGTTGATAGTCTCGCTGCTATCAGTATATTCACCAAGCTCAGAGCTATGGGCTATAGCTGCAGTGTAGCAAAACTTATGCAGAACCCCACGATTGAAGACGTGGCTACCTATCCCAGATCTGATGCGGCGACAAAGACGGCCAGGGAGGCTTCCCTTGCGAAAGCACGCGACCTCATATCGCAGAACGAACAAGAATTGTTCCACCAGGAGGGACTCCCTGTCCCACAGAATGAAATTGAGTATATCTTACCTTGTATGCCCTTGCAGGAAACTCTGATCGCGAGCTCTTTGATTGATGCGACAGATGGGTCATACATCAACAACATCCTTCTAGAATTGGAAGAGGGCGTGGACGTTGCAAAGCTTGAGAACGCTCTTCGGGAGATTGTATCGAGGAATAGCATACTGCGAACCATATTCGTCCTGAAGAACGACCATGTCTATCAAATTGCTATCAAGGCTGAGTATGCTCCGTTAAACTGGACAGTTCATGACAATTTAGACATTGTACTGGATCAAAAAACCCGATACGACTTCCTTTCAGACATTCACAACCAAGATATTACGAGCAAAATCACAACCGAGGCACCTCTTCGCGTATCCGTTTGGCAATCTACAAGCACTAGTCGGTATTGTGCGTGTGTATCTATTCATCACGCGATATATGATGGCATATCTTTGACCTCGCTTTTCAAGGATCTTCGCGATCTCTATGAGTCGAAGCAAATTTCAAGTAGACCTGGACCAAGACAGATGGTCGAGTACATTACTTCTTTGGATGCAGGTCGCGCAAAAGAGTTTTGGACAAATTCTATGTCGAATTGGCAACGAACAAAGTTACTTGGTGACTCGACAGACACTCACCTTAGCGAGGTATCACGGACATTTGAGCGCAGCCTCTCCAAGTTAGAGGACCTTGTGAGACCTATGAAGCTCACTTTGTCAACTCTACTTCAAGGTGCATATGCGCTATCATTAGCCCAAGCACAGGACTCGGATGATGTTATCTTTGGACATGTCCTCTCCGGGCGTACGGGCTCAGTGGATGGATCGGATAAGTTGATATTCCCATGCATCACGACTATTCCTCAACGAGCAAACATTCGAGAATTTGGTTCCCGCACTATTACGGACTTACTCTCTAGCCTGCAGTCCAGCGGCGCCCAGGCCCTTGAGTTTCAACATACCTCCCCACGTGACATTCAAAGATGGGTGGGAGCTAACAGGCCTCTGTACGATTGTCTCTTCTCTGTGGTACTCGGAGGTGGAATATACGAGGGCACGTCACCATGGAGACAAGTGGAAAATTCCATTTCTGTCGACTATGCGCTTGCAGTTGAATTCGAAATCGATTCTAGTAACGATATAATCAAAGCTGGTCTTGGCTTCACGGGTGCCTTTGGCGATGCCACAAGGGCAAGGGAGTTCCTTAAGAATATCGAGATGCTCGTTAACGACATCTCTGATGGTTCTGAAATTTATCTGCGTGATCTAGGTATTACCGAGCCTGCGCATATTCCAGACGACAGCAGCAATGAGGAATCAGCTACAAATGGCGAGGAATGGAGTGTAGAAGAAAGCCAGCTCCGAGACCTGGTATCAACATTCTGCTCTGTGCCTCCAGAACAGATCGGAAAGCGCACCCTGTTCATTCATCTGGGCATTGATTCCATTGTTGCGATTAGGTTTTCGCAGCAGCTGCGCAAACAAGGATTTCAGATGTCTTCGGCTGATGTGATCCGATCTGGAAGTATCAAGGCCTTGATGGAAATAAAGCAGAAAGCGAAAGAGAATATAGGCGAAGAGTACAGTTCTATTCCCCGCACCAATAGAAAGCGAAGTGGGAATGCGAGTGGCGGAGTGAACGACAGTTTGAACGGGAATGAAGACTCCGGGGAAAATTACGATGGCAGAAACGAACAGTCGCGCCCCTCTACGCTCGAGTCAGACAATATATCCTCCCAGACCCTCAAATCTCAGCTTCTATCTGCTGGGCTACTCACTGCCGAGAACGATGTTCAGCATTGTTATGTGGCGACACCGCTTCAGAGTGGCATGATCACGCAAACTCTGTCAGTTGATGGCAAGCTCTACGTCCATCATCACGTTGTAAGAGTGATGTCTCATGTGGACTCGACGTCACTCAAGCGGGCTTGCGTGACACTGATCAGTAAAAGTGACATAATGAGAACTTCATTCCGCAGACTAGAACGAGACGTATCTCAGTGGATTGCTGTGGTTCATTCGCAGTCCGTAGCTAGAGTCCGTTTGACCAAAACACTAGACGCACGGGAAGAAATGGAGCGTGTCGTATCGAAGATGAGGTTTAACGACGAGGCCGACTTCCATCATACTCCACTCGCGATAAATATCATCCAATCGGACAATGAGCGATTGCTGTCCATATCTCTCCATCACAGTTTATATGATGGTATTTCTATCGTGAATATGTTCCGGCAGCTTGCTGAATATCTTCAACACGAGGTCGCCGTTAGAACAACTCCATTCTACCTGGCGGCCGAGGCTATTTCTGCGAGACAAGAGGAGGCCGTACAATACTGGGCTACAAGCCTACGTGGCTATGAGAGCATTCGAATCCCAGTCCCCGTGGGCAACGAGATTACCAAGCCTGTTCTTCGAACAATTGTCTTCGATCGAGCACTGTCCACAATGCTGGAGACTTGTCGGGAACAAGGCTTCACCATACAAGATGCTTGCCTTCTTGCATTTGGCAAAGCGTTGGCCATGCTTGTTGGTAGACGAGATGTTACCTTTGGTCAAGTCCTCGCCGGAAGGACCTTGGCAGTGGAAGCCGCAGACCAGATCATCGGGCCGTTATTCAATACTGTCCCAGTTCGAATAAAACTCGCCAACAAACTTGCCTTGAACAAGTCCACGATGCGTAATATTCGAAGCTCGATGACAAAAGCCATTGACTACCAGCATGCGTCCCTAGCCGACGTCCAGAAGCTTTGGCGCAAGCAAAGTAACCCGACTGGACCACCCCTGATCGACAGCCTATTCACATTCCAAAAATTAGATCAGGGTATCCGTGAAGCAACAGAAAAGTATTGGGAGCCCATTGATGGCGACTCAGTCTTGGCGCCTTCAGAATACCGGCTCAACTTTGAAATCGAACAAAACGCGACCCAGTTGGTGGCTCGCTCGAACGCGCGCATCACTAACGAGCAGATCGATGCTTTGATGGATACTTTCCACGATGCACTATTCGATATACTTGAAAGCCCGGCCAGGTCAATACTTGCTGTTCCTCGAGGTCTGGTACAATTACCTCTGACAGTGATGAAAGAAGAAAGTTTAGACTATGATACCGAAGCTGTATCGAAGTTTGCGGAAAGTATTCGGACGGCAATGGCAGAAGTATGCCAGGTTCATAAGGATGCCATCACCTTGGCAACCAGTATATTTTCTATTGGTCTCGACTCTATCGCAGCTATTCAAGTCGCACAGAAATGCCGTAAGAGTGGTGCGCGTATCAGTGCCGCTGACATCGTTGGTGGAATCACTCTGGGTCGCATTTGTGAATTCGCTCTTCGATCTTCAAGGCTTGTTGAAACACACGATGTCGCACAAAGGGACCTTGTTCCAGACAAGTTGAAGACTGCTGCCTTGAAAATACTTACGGTTAGAGCGGACCAGGTTGAGGATGTGTTGCCACTATTACCTGGACAGGAATGGTATATTGCTGGGTGGCTAAAATCCGGAAAGACAACATATGAGCCAGCCTGGTCATACAAAGTACAAGAAACCTTGGATTCTGGTAAGCTGTTGATTGCTTGGTTAAAGCTCATTGAGAGGAACCCCATCCTGCGCACGACAATCATTGCTACTGAGGACGGAAGGACCGTGCAAGTGGTCCTGAGCGCTGATACCGAAACGAAGTGGCAAGATAACACATTCTCTGTGGTTGAGAATCCATCCAGATCTCTCCTCGAAGCTACACGTGAAACAGTCCACAGAGAAGTAAGAGCACCATCGGATTTTTACGTTCCTCCCATACGTCTTCGCCATATCATTGCCAAGGATGGTCAAGGCATTGTGCTGATGCTACATCATACACTCTACGACGCCTACAGTATGCCACGCCTGATATCTGAGCTCGCAAGCTTGTATGCAGGAAATGCTTCTATAGACGATAACGTTCCTTTCTCCAAGTTCGTAATCAACAGTCTCCATAAGATCAAACACTCCGATCAAGCGAAATTCTGGAAGCATGCGATAGGATCATGCAAGTCAACGCACGTCACTAGGAAGCAGATTTTCCAAATTCAGGACGGAATACGCGCACAGCAGCAGACATTCGTACTGGTCCATGGCTCGCCTATTGATATCGTTAAAGTAGAAGCTAAATGCAGGCAGCATGACATCAATCTTCATCACATCGTTCTCGTAGCATTTGCGCGCGTTCTCGCGAATTTGACTTCGACGCATGATCCCCTGTTCGGCTTCTATCAACATGGCCGCTCAGCATCTATCGAAGACATCAATGGTCCTATTGCCGGACCATGCATAAATATGCTGCCTCTCGGTTTACCAAATGTCATGGAAATGAGACCACTAGATGCAGCAAAGACTGTGCAGAAGATGTTAGGCGAGCGCACCGCATTTGAACAGAGTCGAATGATTGATGTTTTGAAGTGGGCGGGCTTCAAGGGTGATAGGCTGCCGTTTAATGCATTCTTAAATCTTCTGTTCCGACGCGATGTACTAGATGCCGAGACTAATGAAAACACTGGTACTAAGGAGGAAAAGGCATTGTTTCAGCCATTGCATATCGGCTTCCCAACAGACTTCGCACCTGAACATGAGCTGTCCGGCAAGTCAGCTGTGGACGATATGAACAGTGTAAGCAATGGTTTGGTAGAAATGATTTGTGACGGAAATCTCTATGTCGATATTGGGCCAAGGGGAGATGGAAGTGGGTTGGACTTTGGTATTAAGTGTGAAGGCGTGCTCGAAGTTAGCGACCAGAACACGACAGACTCTACGAGGGGTATCAAGAATTTCGCCGAAATTCTTGATGTCACAATTGGTGATTGCTTGGAAAGCTTAGGTGCTTGATATAATGCATGTAGCCTTGCTCTCAGAACTTGCGCGCTTTGGAATTAAGAGTTTCATAGTATATAGACAGTTATGGGCCTTTCTCCCATATAAGAAGGTCACACGCTCGAGTCGTTACAGAGAGCTTACCACGGTGTGAAAGTATTGCGAGTGCGAAGAGATGACTCCGATTTTATTTCCGTACGAAATTATTGTACGCAATTTTCCTTACGCTGAATCTTATACTATCCTCGTTCACCCCTTGTGCCTTTCACTTCAGTCCCTTTCCCAGGCGCCATCGAAAGATCATGGCTCGAAATCTTGTCATGCTCCTTCGTCATACGTCCATTGTTTTCCGGATTGTGGTGCGACTCTTGTCTCCAGTTCCCGTGTGCAAACCCTTCCGCTGCAGACTGCTTGAGGTCCTTATAGCTGACTGTTCTCAAAGCTGCTTGGTGTGTTGCGGTAAGATTGACCTTTGCCACTGCTTCTTTGTGTAGTTGTCCCTCCTGTGCAGCTGTCATTACTTCTGACCATCGATCGGCATATAGGCACCATTTTTGTCCTGGTTCAACTCCTGCTGCTTTAAGATTGTTCCCCTTTGAAGACTGTGATGGTCGATAATTTATGAGTGTTTAATATTACGAGATTACGCTCAAGAGCTCCTCACTGTGAAGTCAAGAAATGATGCCGTCATAGTAGCCGCAACAGAGTGTTTGCCTTCATCTTCTGGCCCCGTCCTGCAAAACCCGTCACGGAAGAAGCCATTCGGGATATCTTTGGAAAAGAGTGCTAATTGACCGCCAACGACTATACCTAGTCAGCACTCCGTTTCAATCAGGAAGCAATACAATCTACGCCTGGGGCCTACCATTACTGTTTTCCATCATTGGTTTAGTACTTATTTCCGCGTTCATAGCCATCTTTACCAATGTATTGCTGCTGTCTGTTTTTAATCGTAGCTTGATGAACGACGTAGGACAGTTGAAGCCACGAGTACGGTACACTTGCTCGTTATGCAGGCAGATTCTGTTCGTCGATAATTGGGTCTGAACAATGGTATTAGCACACAATCAAAACTTCATGAAGCTCTCGACCAATGAGCGTACGATCTGTTACATCACCATTACAAAAATCGGGAAAATAGGTTGCATAGTGAGCTAGTGCGAGGTTCCGAAGCATGTTAAATCATCGATGTTGACCCATACCTGGTGAGAAGCTTTTATCATAGCTGGAATACTTTTCCCAGAAATTCCTTCGGTATGCGATCTCAGGATCAGCATGAGTGTTTCGATCAATGAACCGGCCTTGACTGAATGCCGACACGACGTAGTGGTCATGCCCGATGTGGGATATTCAGAAAAAAAAGCTATTCTAGACTGCAAGGAGAATTGAACACGACATGACAGGGGCGGTTAGGTGAGTTTCTTATAGGTGTAGACGTGAATTATTCTTAGGATGTGCAGTGAGTACCACGGGTGAACAAAGCTCAATTCATTGTGTTTCTGACCAGTGTTGAACAGAAAGTCCGTCTCGGATTTAATAATGTCCCACGAAATTAACGTATGAGCTGATCTCAACAAGACCATACAAACTCCAGGACAATAATGGTATTGCCAAGCACGAAGAGTCATTGAACAGTGTCTCATGAGCGAGCCAGATCCCATAAAGGATTATGAAATGATGCGTCAATTCATGCATCAAATGGCGGACTTCCTTTTGGCTGCTCAAATGATCGAGACTGTGAAGAATTCATCTCGCCTGTACATCTTTGATATCTACTTGTTACTGGACCCGGTTGTCGGGACTACAATTATGTCAGTCGATTTTGTCATCACAAAGCAAACACTGTAGCACGTACCGTTCCCGCCGTAAGCCGCAATCGCACCATCGAATGCCGCGTTCAGCTGCTCCACTGCAATTGGTGCAATCGCCTGAATGTCCTCCGTCATCTTCGCGATTGTGGCATTTGCGAGAGCATTCGTGTCGAGTCTCAACTGGTACAGGGTCGCAAGCACAATTGGTCCTAATTCCCCAAACGTGCTCGCCTTGCCTTGTACTCCTTTCAGAGTGCTTGTGACTTGATCTGACAAAGTCAAAAGCACATCTGCAACGTCGATGGAAGCTTCTTCAAACGGTGCAGCGGCATTGGATTCCATGGTGCCAAATTCGGCGTATTCATGTACAATGACTGCGTCTTGTTGCACTTGGAGTGCGTATGGAAGGCCTGACACACCTCCAGTGAAGGCGGCGGTGTCATTTGTGATCTGAACTGTGCCGTTTCCGATCTGGTATAATTTGGCAATCACACTGCTGGCGTCGGCTGCGAAAGCGAGCTGTGTGCTGAAAGCAAGTACAACAGCCAACGATGTGAGACAAAGCATGCTGGTAGTTGGTGGTCGTGGCAGTTGATTGTTCGATGTCAAGCTACTTAGAGGAGGAGAAAATCGCAAATTGGCGCTCGACGGATGCGCAACGCTGACCTATGTATAATAGATAGACACAGTACAACGCACATGTCATTTCATGCATGGCGGCCTCGGATCCATGGTGCTGCCAGCTTGCCCTTTTAGTTCCCCAACGCTAAACTTGGTGGCGTAAGTGATTAACCGGTCCGCTAGTGGACTAGCTCTAGGGCTCTACACCTCCGCATTTCCTCCCAAGGTGGTAAAAAGCTTCGGCTTTACACGCGAGAATGTATTAGATAAAGATTAAAACAAAATATAGTTATAATATATAGGTAGTACTACTTTATATATATACTCTTTAATTACTACTAAGAGAGCTTAGTAGTAATTTATTCTATAATAGAATATACTCTATTATTCTATCTAGCTATACTACTATATATTAGCTCTATTCTTATATTAGTAGTAGTATAGTTTATATAGTATATTTGATTTATTAGTTTAGTATTCTATATATATTTAGTACTTTATTATTTAGAATAGTTTATAAGTATAAAATTACTTTTAATAAGGTTAAACTCTAATAATAAATTAAGTAGTAAGGTCTATAAAACGTCTTAATGTTTATAAAACTAAATTTTTTAATATAATCATAGATAAATAAGAAACTAGAAAATCTTAGACCCTTATAAGAATAACTACCGCCTTAGTAGCTTGGCGTTCGACTACGTAAGGGGCTAGGTTTACTAAGATATGTCCATGGTACTTATCTTAGACCATTCTAGACTATTATAGGTCTATTATAACTATCATGGTACACTATCTAACACTATAATACACGGATAGCTTCTGTTCTATACAGACTATTCTATGTATAGAATTTTAATCGTCAAATGGCCACACGTCTTCCCAGATCCGACGATCTTCAGGTGTGCTTAAGAAATCAGTAAAGACCTGCTCTTTTACACGGCGGAGCGCTGCCTTTGTATCTTAGTATCGCTCTGGTCGAACGATTCCTTTCTCCGGGAACAAAGAGCCAAGGGCTTCTTTAATTACCATCATAGCGTTCATACTATCCAGCGTTCGTTCGGCGTCCTTTTCTATGTCTGCTAGTATGGGTCCAGAGAATTGAACGGGAGAATCCTCGAGTGCTGCGATGGAGCCTAGACAGAGTGCCTCTCCTGTCTCGAACAGATTTCGAGATGCAGTCAGTACAGCAGAAGCTGTGGACTCCTCGTACATAATAGCATCGAAAATTGGCTCGATGTTACGTTTTAGCAGATGCTTATAGGCTGAAGCGAGCACTTGATTTTCATACAATCTCCCAATTATGGCTTTAGCGTCTTCATCTATATCTTCTGGAAATTTAGGAGGCGTAGGGCGTTCCATGCCTTGCACGGCCGGCCCATCATAGTTTAAGAATACCGGGGTCATGACATGATCGAATAGTGGAGCGATGAATGTCGATTGCCAGTCGATGATCGTGAGGATCACTGTAGGATCGTCTGCGTCCACGAAGATGTTCTCCCCGTGCAAGTCGTTGTGCCACATATGGAACGACCTTGCCCACCTCTTTTGGGGTAAGATATGATGCAATGACTTGAGAACAGTTTCACAAGCAAAGAGCTTCTTTTCTCGCGTGGGTTGATAAAGTGTTGGGCCGCAGAGCATTGAGAGCGGCCTTGGAAGAGCCGGGAGTTCTTGAATCGCTTTTTGATCACGCTCAATGATTGCTCTCCTATATCTATCTGCTGATGTCCCTACGTATTCCTGTAAGTGCATGAATGAACCAATAAACGCCTTAACTCACATGGTCCTCTATCACATCTGACACTGGGCTTACCGGAGTCGCTCCATTCTCTTCCCGTAATCGGTCCAATTGCAAATTTCGTGTTCTGGATAGGCTTCTCTAAGCCGTCAATATATATTGAAGTAGTTTCATCGACGGCTGGCAGGTCTTTCCGATAGTACAGACTGCCAATATGGCTGAATGAAATTTTGGACCATGACCGTAAATGTCTCGCAATCGCTCTGATTACTTGACCCTTCTGGTCAATGTCCATCGTGGGCCACACGGACCCTAGCTGGACACCTTTGGCTTTCTCCATGATAATGTACTCTGCGTTTACGGCATTCTCTGCACGAGAGTCCCACGCGATTACACGAGGCGCTGGAGTTCCTACTATGTTGCGTATCTGAATCGTATCAGTTTCATATATACGAGATGTTCAAACGAAGTCAACGTTACCATGTCCATAGTGGCCACTTCGCTCGCGGTCGTGAGGTGTGGCACGCCAGCATTGGGATTCGGAACCTTCGCCACCACTTGGTCATTGTCGTCCATAGTGAGTAGGAATGCTTTATTATAAAGCCCATCAGCGAATTTCTCAACACTGATGCACTGCTTTCCAACGGCTTTCCCAGCAGCCTCGCAGAGCTCATTCATGTTAAATTTGACGTGTCGTTGTGCCATCTGCTCTGTTTCTCGGCTTACGAACCGTCCACGCGTGTAACGAAAGAAGTCCTCATTGCTATTCCAGTCAGTGTCATTTCGTCTGCGGAGTAATGCTAACATCTGTCTTCGGAAGAACATTGTGCTTTGACTCTAAGCGGATCGAGCTATGAAATTGTGATCATAATTATTATCGAGACGACGATAGCTCTGCTTAGGCGGTATCCGTCCGAAACCTTTTTAGTGCAATTCTTGGCACGCATCATGCGCGTAACACCCGCGCTTTTTACCTTATGAGAGAAAATATATATATTATATACTAGGGTGGCCCGGCAGAGTGCGTGCAGTCTTAGATCCAAGGCACTAAGGCACTAAGGCACTAAGGCACTAAGGCATTCCGGAAAATCCACGGCTAACGTGCGAATTTTCAATCTACCACTAAACGCGATACTAGAGGCTTATAAATCGATCTCGTCCGTGACTATAGCCCTATATATAGTCAAAAGTATATAAGCTTACTTATCGTGAATAGAGGTAGAAATGAGTGTGATAGATTCTCGATTAAGGGCGTGCTTAATTTATTATATCGTAAAAGGTGAATTTTTGTCGCAAGAAGTGGTGAGGGCGCTAGCGGGCGCTAGACAAAAAAACATTGGCATCTTTTTATGATTCCTTTGGAATAACACGTGCCAAGACTTGCGCTAAAAAACCTACGGACGGATGCTAATAATTGGCACTTGATCTGACAATTTGTGGTTCATGAATTAGTGCCTAAGGTTACAAGGCCACCCAATCATCCAATGGGACGTAGTTCTATCCCATGTCATGAACAAAGCAGACCTGCGCTCCACGTGAATGGATGTATTTTCTTTGGCTATGTATCACACTCTTGCAATCTAACCACAGTGGCTGCGTCAAACCACAATCATTGCGCCTCATTTGAAGAACGATATCAGTCTGCTACCACACCCCGATGATTCTAGAAAGCTGAAACCTGCCAACTCAGAACTTCAGCGACCCCGCCCAAATCAACATGAGCCGACAAGATGATGTTAATTTCCTAGAGACATTCTTCAACCGCCATCAATCGATCTCAATCGTTCAGTTGAATTGGACAGACTACTCTGGAGTTGTTAGGACACGGTTCGTCCCTCACCAACGGGCGCTCGATCTTGCAAATGGAAGTTCCTACTATCTGGCACAAAACTGCATGATCATCCCCATTGCCACAGCTCCAAAATGCTGGACAGAGCAGCCTGAACGATGGAATCTTTGCCCAGATTGGTCATCAATCAGGATATGCGGATATAATCAGAAGCATGCATTCGTCATGTGTTGTGTTGATCAAGTAGGCCCGGAAAAAAGGTTCTCCCAGTGCCCAAGAAAGTTGCTACAGAAGACAATCGAGGATTTCGCAGGTGTTGGTATGGGCAAGATACTAGTTGGCTTCGAAATCGAGTTCGTTTTGCTTGACGAGAACGATAATCTATACAAGCCCATGGATCGCGTCGTTGGCTACTCGCGAACGAAAGGCTTGCGAGGCAAGACACTTGACTTGTTAGAGGAAGTTCTCGATGCGTTATCGGTGTCGGGGATCCAGGTGCATCATTTCCACACGGAGATTGACGATCAAGTCGAGATTGCGCTGTCGCCCTTAGATCCTGTAGCAGCTATTGATACCTTGTTGCTTGCGCAAGAGACCATCCGGACTATATTTTCGAGGCACAATCTCAAAGCAACAATGGCCCCCAAGCCCTTGCTACAAGGGACTCACAATGGATGCCACATGCATCTATCCTTCTCTGAAGACGCATCACTTGTGCAGCACTTTGTCGCTGGCGTTCTGACGAAGCTTCATTCACTGTGCGCAATTGGGATGGCAAACTATGACGGATATGTTCGATCAGAACACGATGAAGCTGGTGTGTACATAGGTTGGGGTACCGAGAATAGGGAGTTTCCTATCCGCAAGGTAGATGATACCCATTGGGAGTATCGTTTCATGGACTTCACAGCGAATCTCTACCTTTTCGCAGCGACATTATTTCTAAGTGGAAAGAAGGGAATTCAAGACAGGATCGATCTCAAATGGAAGGACTGCCAAGTGTATCCTGAGCCGTTGGGCCCGAGAGAGCGCTTCGTGGAATACGGAATCACAGATTCAATGCCGGTTTCACTCCAAACAGCACTATTGTCGTACACCTCCGACGAGGATCTTCGTGCCTGGCTGGGAGATGGCATGTTCAGTCAATATGCGGATGTGAAGCAGAAAGAAGTCGAACATTTCGGAGTCATGGCGGAAGAAGAGCGTCGCAAGAAATTCGTGGAATATTTTTAGCTAGTGTGTTCATGAATATAATGCTCATAGACTTAGGTGATCGAACCGTTTACAAGTAAATTGGATTGTGTTGTTGAGGGATTACTGCCTGTGATCGACGTGTTGCGACGCTATCTAACTAGATTGACCAAAATATAACAAGCTCATCGAAGTCTTCAATCGCAAGGGAGCGTGGTTTCTCATTGGGAAGTATCTCACGTCGAAGCTCCTTTGCGCGTGCCAACCAATGATTGCCCTTCTTGATACTCCCAGGGTCTCCGAGTGACAACAAATGTGTTCCTCGTAAGAAAGATGATCGCGCCGACTCGTTCTTGAACCATGGACGGTTGCCCCATATGCTAAGAGCTCGGTCTAGGTAATCCCTACAAGAATTGATCAGTCGAAGTGATAAGTGTGATAGAATCATGAAACTGACTGCGCAATCTGGTGCTCTTTCAACCTTATATGATGCTCTGCTAACTTATGGCAAATATCTGCAGTGCGATGGTTGAATTTGCCGACTGTGGACTCGTATTGCTTGAGACAATCAGAATGGATTACGAAAGATTCTTGCCAAAGTGACTGCGCTTCTTGCGTAAGTCCATTTCTTTCTTGTGCACGTGCTTTGTCTGCTTTGACGTTCCCCAATGCCTGTAATGCCCGTCCAGTCCTAAATGAATCAACGGCTGTTTCTCTTCAGGCCTTGGAACCATACTTACTTATAAGACACGCTATCAAGTTTCCCCCATAGCTCTTCTCTTTGTTTGATTAGATCCGTCAACGTCTTATCTGCTTCTTCAAGTTGGCCCTGTACCCAGTAGCCACAGCCGAGATTGCACACAGGGAATCCAAACTCGTCAGGATCTACTTCCAGGGCTTCGAGGAGTGCAATTGACTGCTTGAAGAACTCTATTGCTCTTGCTGGCTTCTTAACCATCATATAAGCAATGCCCATCTGGCTATGGGCGAATGCAAGTCTCAGATCTGGATTACCATTTTTTTCTGCTTCAGCTTTACGCATTGCGAGACAGTGTATATTATGCTCAAGGCAGCCTTGAGCGTCGTTGGTTTCGTTGGTCAATGCTGTCATTGTAAGATGCATGTCACCTAACAACGGTTGCTGTGTAATATTGGCGCTCTTGCATAGATCAAATGCCAAATTCATATAAACTTTGCCTTCATGGGAGAATCCTCTCTCGTGGCAGTAGCTGATGTCTCTGTTAGTAATTTCGGTACCCAACCGAGCTTAACGAGTGCTTACATTCCAGCCTCGTTCATGAGTGTAGGCAGAGTGGTATCTATGTCGAAGCCAGACCATGCTTCTGCGTTCTCCGTGTATATTTGATAAAGGCGCTCTAAATGTGGCAGTAGATCTTCACAAAGATCCCAACGTCTACTCGCTTGGCTACTAAGGTTTCCGGGTGGCCACAGTGAAACCAGAAGAGCCATCACAGCTTTGAAAGTCTCGTATCGATCATTCTCGTCCATACGAGCGCGAACTTCGGCTTGAATGATGCGGTGAATCCAAAGCTCTTTTCTGTTGATATTTCTCTTGATGATCGACGAGGAAATGAGTTCAAATCGAGCCTTCTCGTACGCTGGAGGACTCGACCAGCTGTACTTTTTGCCGTCTTTTGCCTTGAAAGCGTGCTGGAATATCTGCTCCCGAATACGGTCTGGATTCAAGAACGCCAAGGCTTTGAGCATGTCCATTGTTGGCGTTTCAAGTTCTCGGAAATTGTACGCAGTGGCGAGGGTGAATCCGTATCGATGGTCCAGCAGTGAGTTGCTTACGCCGTGAATTTCAGCATAACGTGCATCGTTTGCATAAAGATCCACAAATTCTCTCAGGGACAAATGTCGACGTCTGATAAAGCCTGCCATCTGTGTCATTGCCAGAGGAAGACCGTCTAATGTTTTTGCAACTTCTACGGAAGCTTCCTGCTCGTCTTCTGTCTCTGCGGTCTCCGCACGGATCGTCAACTTACAGAGAAGATTAGCGGCCTCAGTCGATGATAGAGGCTCTACATCAAATCCAGAACCGGTATCGTAGTAGTGCTTACCTTCAGGATCACGCGTTGTGATCAGAATGGAGCCATTGCCCCTATGGGGTAGGTAGTCTGCGATGACGTCCAGGTTATCTGCATTGTCGAATATCAGAAGCCAGGATTCATTTTTGACCTCTCCCGGTGCATTGACTTCACTCGTGGGATTCTCGAGCCATGCAGATACAAGCTCTTTGCTTGTACCCAAGTCTATCCCTTCTTCGAAGGTAGTAAGGCCAAGCTGCTCCGCTACTCGACCAAAATCTGCAGCAATCTGGGATATACCTCCGGCCTCTAGCCAGAACACCGCCCCGAATCTTTTTCTTCGCGAGAACGCAAACTCAACAGCAACATCTGTCTTGCCTATTCCTCCCATTCCGCACAACGCATAATATCGAATGTTGGAGCCCGTGGGTGAGCCGGAAGATTCTGACGGTAACAAGGCATCGTCGATGGCTTTTAAAATGTTCTCACGCCCGATGAAATTCGGATTTGGAAGATATTGGGCAAGACTAAAGCATGGAAGGCGTGCTTTTCGAGTCTCCAGCAACCTTTCAGCCGCAGTTGAGACGAGGGAAGAATGCAGAGACAGTTTGGATGCTCGACGTGACAGCTCCTTTTGAATAATACGCTCCTCCTCAGAGGCGAGACGAGAAGCTTTAATCTCTTGTTCTATATCCACGGATCCTAAATTGAGCGGATTGAGCGGATCGTGGGTATTTAGAGGCTCCAAGGTGGGAGTACTCTGTCCGGTGGACAGCTTTAGATTTTCTATGGCTGTTGTCAGCAGATCATTATGGTTCTTCTATGAGTGATTTTGTACCATCTAAAGTCTTGAATATTGATCGTAGGAAATCTTCTGCAGAGTACTGATCGTCCTTGAGCAGTGAAAACTGGCACAATTCGTTGTGAGGAAGAGCAACGCCTAGAAGTCGCTCTGTCTGCGAACGTATGCTTGCCAATTGTTCATCGACTACAATATTCTGCGCCAGCTGTGAGCAAATTTCATGCGTAGGGGGCATAGAGGTTGGTATCGGCACAACCTACTTTCTTTTTGCCTCCGAAGATCTTCTGAACTTGTGATCGCATTTGACTCTGCTCGTACACTGACAAGACAGGTATATTGGCGAGCTGTTCAAATTTCTGGGCCAGATTAGAAAGAAGGGTTACGTCGTGGGGTGGAAGTCGCTCGGAGCCTCTATGTAGAGCAATTTTAGCGCAATTGTATAAAATCTCATTATGGCGAATCAATGTATCCCTATCGTTGACGCTAGAATGCGGTGTTCCCAAGAAAACAATGCCAGACACGCATTCGAGGAGTGACCTAAAGCGAAAATCATGTAGGTTTTGGTTGACTAATGCCAGAGCCTGGCCATCAAGTTAGATAACACAGACCTGCTAGACTTTGCCACGTACCTGCTTCAGTAGCACTCCTCCAAGACAGTGACCAATGAAAATAATAGACCTATGTGGATGCTGCATCGGGTCAGCATCAACGTCACGCTCTTTTATTATGTGCAAAATACCTCCACAGCGAGAGCTGCAACATCCTCGGCGAGATCATTGCCAGTTTTCAGAAACTGATCCCATGAGAACTCATCGCTACCAAGATCATACGATGGGTGATGAACGAATATGTGCAGTGTTGATATTGATGGTACTCCTGTCGCCGCTCGTCTAAGCTCGTCGTTGACCTTCCATTTCTTGATCGAGGGGGTGCCGTAGCCCGGAACAGCAATAACACTATTGAGAGTAAGAAGAAGATTCCGCGATAGCTATCGACACCGTGCTGACCTTGTTTCGATTGTTACTGGGTCACGAGGACGTAGTTGTATGACATTGTTGAGAGTAAGGGACGATGGCCTCGGGCTGGTCGGGCGAAATGTGGTACTGGAGAGCCCTGTGCTTTTCCGCTGACGCACCATCATAAATGAGCCCTCAGTTTGCTTAGGATGTTTCAGTCCGATAATTGCCACAAGGATCAGAAAGGCACTGCGGGAGCGGGAGACATCATACAAAGGCTCCAATACATGGGTCTTATCAGGTGAGAAGATGTGTAAGACACTAGTATGAACAGTCAACGACCAGTAGGCATCAAACCCACGTATCATAGCCAGCCATGACTTGATACATACTCTGGACACTGCAGCGTTTATATTACCGAGTAAGAAGGGGAGCAGGGTCTCTTTTAGGGCACTAATTATCCGCCTGTCCCGGGTTACATTGAATGGATGAGACTCTTGGCACTCCGATGTTCAGCCATGCCGAGTACATAGTAAATTAGTATTGGGACGGCATTGTCGTACATTACACTCCACATACCTCGCTGCTGCCCTTAATACCGCCTGAAGGCTTACATTTAGCTGTCTTTGGCTATCTCAAATATTTTTCTGGTGTTTTATCTCGCTTAGTATGCCTCCAAAAGCCGCACAGAAGCCAAAAAAGCCGAAAAAATGTGGCTTTCGGCGCAGACCATACCACGGAGCCATCTCCTCCTTCCACAGGGCCTCGTCAGCGTCGCCCCACGGCTAGAAAGCAGGCAGACGACGCCAATAAAGCTCTTGGAGTCGCCGTGAAGAAGAAATCGCGTCGGAGGCCTGGCCAGTTCATAATTCCGCCCTCCCGAGTGAATATCGCGAGTAACCCGTCCGATGTACCCTCTTCCCCTCCGCCGCGCGCGCAAACCTCCCGAGTATCGTAGAGTCTGAAACTGAAGTCGCAGCTGAAGTTATAGAAGCTGAAGTTATAGAAGCTGAAGTTATAGAAGCTGAAGTTATAGAAGCTGAAGTTATAGAAGCTGAAGTTGAAGCTGAAGAGGATAACGATGCGGAGGAGACACCGGCGCAGAACTGGGCTGTCTTTCCGAAATGGAAACTCCACGTTGCCAACAAGAAGATCGATGAAGATAGCCTGCCTACCTCCATGCGTGGACGTTTTGAACCTGATGACTATGAAGACGAAGTTCATAAGCGTATTGGTGAAAACATCGTTGGCTACATCTGGTCATTCCAAAAGTGTACCTTCTCGGCTTGGCTAGGTGTTGGAGGGAAGCGCGGAATCAGAGGTGATACTGTGCTTGACTGGTCGCTTGTATCGTGGTCTCGGATTCTCGCGATTGTTGATGAGGTTCATAGCTTTGCGAAGAAGAATCCAGACGAGCCAGTGTAGATCCAATTCGAAGACTTTGTCGACTGTTAGGTTCATCCGACTGCTAGAAAGGCTACTACGGCACGGGAATCAAATCCCAAGTCACCTACGCCGTCACCAAGCACTGTAGTACGAAATTTACTGGCGCCAGCGCCTTCTGCGCCCGGAATAGCTGCTTCTATCGCCGCTTAAGTCGCTGCAGCAGTCGTGGTAGATCCAAAGCTCAAGGGTCGCGGAAAAGATATCTTTGAAGCTCAATTGGTTCGAAAAGAGACGCAAGCTGAACGCGAGGCGATTTGTGCCGCGCTTTAATCGAAATACTACTGTTCTGATGGCTTCTGTAATAGTAATAATGAAATGGATTACTAGGCAGGGTTACCCCTACAGGCGATATCACCTCGTCTAGTCTAAGCTATTATATAAGAGAAGGCCTAATAAGCCCCTAAGGCTCACAGGCAAAAAATCGCACTGCTTAAGTATTGCAGAACATGCAACCATACTATTTTCCGACACTTTTCGCGACACTATCGACCAAAGTTGCCCGTAGGCAGCGCGAGTAGGCGCTTATGTCTCAAGGAGACGTGATCAGCTTGAGCGTGCTAGGGTAGAGCAGTAGGGTCTAGAGGACGCGTCCTGGGTAATTCAAGGGCCGGCCTTGAGCTACTATCCACGATCGGCCCAGTGATTATTCCGGGCATATGTTGGCGTGCCTACTCGTATTGCTGAAGAGGGAGGTTACGGAGCATCTAGATGGTCACCGCCCTAGGAAAGGAGTTTAGCCATACACACGAATTAGGGGGTGTTTGAAACCTCAGGTGAAGGTCGTTTTTTGACCTTTTTGACCTCTAATTCCCATTTTTCCGCCGAGTGTTTAAAATCGTATCCCACCTCCAGCTTAAAACCCGAGCTGATGACCAGGGTATATACACTAAGCGGCACTAAGAGAACCGGTCGACGGGGTGGCTTAATCTAACTTTTTAGAGTATAGTCGGAGGTCAAAATCGACCTTTTTCGAGCAGCAAGTATTTTTCGCCCGTAAGAAAACTCGAATCTATTCGATTTCGCCAAAACTTCGGTAAACCTAAGAGAAACTATGGATTTAGTGTGGCCGGACGCCGTCTTAACGCTTAAAAATAAGGTTATTCTGGAGGTCAAAAATCGACCTGAGGTCTCAAACACCCCCTTAGTCGTGGGGGTATCGTGTGCTAATTGTCGCCGCGGGCCTTCTAGTTTCTGGCAGAAAGTAAGGTAATGGCGCACAGTGCCCAGCTCGCCGCAGTCTTCGCACAACGGGAGTATTTCAGGCACCTTCTTCATGTGGAGGAAGTTGGTCAGTGCTTTATATATATCTGCTTTCTTATCCCATTTCCCTTTTAGCCATTGCGGCAGGCGGCTTTGGTTTTCACTTTGCTTCCAATCTTGCCTTGCCTCCGTTTCACCACGAGTGGCGCTCAGGTTCGAGCTGCTTGTATGTCCATCCAAGCCCTGAACTGGATTTCAGACCTAGGGGGTCTTCCTCTGAGTTAGGCGGAGCCAAACCTCTCTCAGCCCAGTAAACGCGAGATTTGCTCCTTAAACTCATGTCACCAGTGTGCCCACCTAATGCGATGGGTTCTATCTGTTCATGAATCGACACGCGCATGCGTCCTTTCAGGCCACGTGGTAGTCTCTCCGGCCGAGACTTGATCCTACCTGCTTCTAGGTACACCAAGGGTCACAGCCTGATGAAGGGGTGAGGTCCTCGGAGCCAGCAGTCACTACCACGTACCACGCCCCGCCTCTAGACTATATAGATAGACCTGCCTGATCCCTTTATTTTTCAGGAGGCTCAGCCTGTTGTCTCTGATCCTTTAGTTTCGTGTTGTCTATGAGGATCTCTCTACGATAGGCCGACCGTGTCTTGTAGACAGAGAAGCATTTGGATCCCATGCCTAGGCGACTTAGGCTCCGCTTGCCTACTAACCCGACTTGTGTCCGCTGCTCTTAATGATGGCCTGTAAACTCCCCTTACCTGGTTCTGTTCCATTGACTGTGTGCTCCACCGTCCTACCTCCCACGGTAGACTATAATATCTCCCGTACGTGATAGCCATGGATATGGCTCTGCCTCTTCCCTAGTGTAACGTTTCGAGCGAAAGGTCTTACTAGAGACGTGCTACTAGTAGGCGCGCTAGATGGCTTAATAAACGTAGTAATACTATAGGAGAATTAGCCTTAACAAGTTCGTTAGTAGTAGTTATAGTTGCCCTCGATGTGATTTCTCGCTGATCCTTACGTTCTTAGAGCCATTCAGCCTTAAGGTGCCCTGTCGCGCTACTAGGACTTCCGCTTCATCTACCTAGACGGCTAGGTAGGATCCGGCCTGCTTTCGATATTCTCGTAAACTCCTCTTAGCGCGTCAATCGAGAGCAGGGTGTATGCGCATAAGGTCCTAGCTGGTTTATCGTGGGTGGTCTACTAGAGTGACACGTCGCAAAGCTTGCACCTAGCCACCCAGCGACGATAAGGTCGGCATCAACGCCACTCCGAACCTCGACGTGGATGCGTTTCGTGAGACGTTGCAGCCTACTCACTTGTATATAATTATTAGGACGGTACAGCGATAAACATTGGCAATATGCGATTAAATGCTTACAATAGTACCAATGTCGCTCTCATAATAATTCAGAATATACGCGGCAGGACTGAACATCGGAGTGCCAAGAGTCTCATGCAACTGGGACAGACCGATGAATTGTATGCTCTACCGGGTTAACTACCCCTCATCATGCAGGCTTGGCGAATTTGCCTTGTATGTTGAAGTCATCAGGCATGTTTGATAAATAGTCACGAGTCCCAGCCTTCTCACCTGCCGCCTTCCAAGACAGATCATACTGCGACAAAGCTATTCCTCGTCAACAAGAAAATTGTTTACTCAACACATACTACAAAATGCCGTCTGAAAATACTCCTAAGATTCAGCCCTGGAAGGCTTTGTCTTCCCTTGAGGAAGCTGACAATCCTGATCTCAGCGAACGCAACCTTCGTGCCAACTCTCCAGGTGGAGGCTCGGGTGCATCTGTCAGCAAACCGGTTGATCGCGACACGAAGGCCGACCAATACAAGCACCAAGAATGAGTACGAGGAACATGAAGGACCCTGATGATCGTAAGTAGAGGCGGCGGTCTATTTCGAGGTTAGGAGCTAATATCGATCTGAGGTCGCAAATATTCTTGCCTTAGGAGGGGAGGGGTAAATGTGTTCGTTCGTTGTCAACCGTTCTAGGAGGATGAACTTCATTTGTAAATACAAACAATGAACAATATTGCTACGATATGAAAGTGGTAATGCAATGGGTCCTAATACTCGTGAGGCCTGCGGCTAGTACGTAGCTGTTACAGCGTTTGTTGAGAACTTCCCGTCTGGGTACTCTATGTCTGCGTACATGACGAGAAGCCTGATATCGATACTTTCTCGGGGTTGTGAGTTGTCAGCTCTACCAGTGAGCTGGAAAGCTCCGTGAGGACAAGCTACGATGTCAGTGTTCATGTTCCTAGTGGGTAGCATGACCATACGTGAACTTATCGCATCATCGGTGTCAATTGCTTTGAAGACTAATACTTCGTCCTTTTTCTGGTCTGGTAGCCAATACCATTGCTGTTCACTATTGTAGTGAAGCATCCGGTTCTCCGCGATGTAGCTCGGGTAGATCACATCCGTATCGACAAAATCGTTCTGGTCTACCGTTGACGCATCACAGATGGCCAGTGGCCAGTCCCGGACTGGCACTCGGAGAGGACGCCAAACTCTATGTTACCTGCTCAGCTAGTGTCCACTGACTTCATACGGTACATATAACGAACGTTATGACTTGAAATCGCGATTCAAGAATCTCTGAAGCAACCTGGTCCTCGTAAATTTCTCTGATGATTTTCTTCGCACTATCGAGTGTGACGTCTGGTAACGAGTAGATTAATCGGAAGACGTCTCATAGCTAAGTAATTCAATGGCTCACCAACGTGCGTGAGGAGGCTTGGCTGAGGCTTTTGCCATGGTACACCTCCTGCTATGGGGAAATTGACATCTCGCTGTCGCAACTGAAGACGCCTCAGAACGATGGTCGCGGGAGGGATAGTGATAAATACCTGGAAATCTAAACTTCGCACGTACTTAGCACCTGGAAGTGTGGTTCTGAAATAGCTCTCAAGCTCTCTCATGTAGATATCCTCGACTTTGTCCTTTTTTCTGAAATCTTCATACCCCATAATTGTAGCTATGCTATGAACCTGGAATCCTTCTTTCTTCATAGTCAGTGATGACATAAGAGGTCTCATGCTCTTAATATTGACAATGTGCAGGGCGCGCTCAATGTTATGAACGGGAAAATTCTCTTTAGGGAAATAGTGGAAGTTGTACGGTTTGATAGTCTTCCAAGTATCGCTTCTTTCCAGAAAGTACATCAGACCGGCTGATATTTGTTAGTATTGGATAATTCATACAGATTACTTGCGCAAATAAATTATGGGTTACATTACCTTGATCTGCATGTATTTCTGCTTCTTGGAAGGCGTGTGGTGCGGTCGGCATTGTGGTCACTAAGCGTTCGCTATGAACAAGCAGCCCTTAGAGTTTATGGTAACAACAATATTGGATAGAGGCTGGTGGCTGCTCATGCAGAGCCTTGTAGCATATGTCGTTCCACAAACTGCCGGCTCAAGACAAATGGGAAAGCTTCAATGGCTGCCTAAGCCCTACTGCTATCATTTTCCTGCCGGCTGGTCATCCTGGCCCGTTTGTGAGCACAAGTGACGAGACAGCATGCATTGCATGCAATCGCCGGTCAAGGACCAAGGGTCGGTCAGATGCCACGTAGTCATGATGCATGGCCCTCCATCATGCATGTTGCTGGCAAGTAACAGGATGAAGAACTGGGCAAGGATGAATGGCAGGCTGAGAAGTTTGAAGGCTAATTATCTCGATTCTTGGCCGGCCAGCCAGGCCACGGCCCCGCGCTCCCGCTCCGGTGCCTAATCCTGTGGTGTTGCTCGCTATCCTGGTGCCCGAGACTCTGTGTACTAGTGACCTATCATAGATCGTAAACCCTACTAGCGTGGCTTAGTTCATGGGCCGTCCGTTGCTGCTACCCAACGATGTCTCCTGCACACAACCGGGAATCTCACACCTTCTGCGCTCCAGATCTGTAGGTAAATATCGCAATGCGTCGGCCTTGTCGCGGAATCCGCCCTGTTCTAACACACGCGTCGACAAGCTTGAGCAGTCTGACAATGTCAGCCACTGTGGAAATGGATCAGGAACTGAAGATCCAGGTCGGATCTATCGAGTATTTCTTGCTTGCCCACAAAGAGGTACGGCGCCTTGTAACATGAAGTTGACGACCTAACTGCTCAGAACTTCCTTGACTTCCTCGCTGATGGCCCTTCACTCGCTGTCGTGTATTTAGTCACGTCCGGCCAGAAGGTGTCCAGAAAGAACTTGCGGGACTTCAGAGAAAACGTCCTCGACAAAGATGACATATTTCAGCCAGAGTTCTGTCGTAATGTTGTATTCTATGGCGGCGACGAGAGTGAACTAGATGTCACCGACGATGCCATAGAGGAACTTGACGCATGGAAAACCAAGACGTGGACATGTGTGAGAGGGAATGCAACCTCTCGAGTCGCATGTGGTCCCTACGTGTTTGCGCATAAACAGACTTATGCACCATGGAGGATATATCGCGACTTCAATGCTACCTTCATGACCACGTTCAAGCCGTCAAAGGATGATATGGAAAGATAAGTTCTGTTTGAAGCAGGCTTGTCATCAACTGTTAACAACTACATACATTAGATGTCCTCGATGCTCCCACAGCAGGTATTGATGGACGTGTGATAGTTCCTCCTCGTTCCTATTTCCGGCCATCCAAAGAGAAGCCGTTGGACGGAGCTCGAATCTCTGTCAAAGACAATATTGACATTGCAGGCCACAAGACTACGCTCTGTAATAGGTCTTGGATAGATCTATACCCACCTGCAGAGCAAAATGCAGTTTGTCTGCAGGTCTTGATAGATGCAGGCGCCATTGTAGTCGGTAAAGTAAAGTTGCAAGCCATGATCATGCGGGAAGAGCCACTTGAAGCCGTCGAATTCACAGCACCATTCAATCCACGTGCAGACGGGTACCAGGTACCATCTGGTTCCAGCCATGGTAGTGCTGCTGGAATAGGTTCGTATGATTGGCTTGACTTTTCACTCGGGTCGGATACAAATGGCAGCGGCCGAAAGCCTGCACATTACAACGGCTGTTTCTCGATCAGACCTTCTACTGGCATCATGAACACGAATGGAGTTATTGGACAGTTCAGGTAAGCATAAAGACGTGTTATGTAAGCTAATTACGTTAACATTGTTATAACAAAAGCAAATTCGATATGCCTGTCTTCTTTGGCCGAGACCAAACCAAATTCTCTGACTTCATAAAAGTCTGGTATGGACATAGTCCTCTACTTCGAATGCCGTCTACTCAGCAGCATGTGTGCATTCTTTGGCCGGAGGACTACTTACCAACCGTCAATGCAGCACAGACAGACTTGATTGACAAGTTCACTAGTGGATTGGAGAAAGCATTGGATGTACAAAGGACTAAAATCTCCTTGGCCCAATTGTGGAAAAATACCTGTCCTGACAATACTCCTGGGCAAGATAATACCGACATTGCGGAATATCTCAAGCTGGTATGACGCCTTTCATGAACAACCATTAGCTCTTATTTACCATGGTCCAGACTGGAAGCTACCCCTACTATTACGATGGGTACTACGATCTGGAAGGCTTCAGAAATGATTTCACAAAGAAGCATGGCAAGCCACCTTTTATACACAGAGCAATGCAGTGGCAGTGGTAAGTTTGCTGGTTTCTCGGTCCTTGGTTTTCCGACGCTGACATTTTTATATCAGGGACATTGCCAAATCTATTACCTTGGAAGAACGCAACTTTTACTGGCGTCGGTCAGAGATATACCGTAAATGGCTACTCGAGGAGGTATTCAAGGCTAGTGACACCAGTACCATAACAATCATGATCTTTCCCATCGAGGTTGGCCAGCCGAGCTATCGTGACGCTCCGTTGCCGTAAGTCTATCATCGCCAGTGTCTTCAAGCGAGGACCTTGCTCATGTCCTGCAGTCCCTACTACGTATTGAGCGGATACGCATCTCTATGCATGTCACCAATCCTCCGCGCCCCTGAGTTTACGACTTTACGTAAGCAGGTCTTCTCATATAGAGGCCCATTGTTGTGCTGATTTGTACACAGTCGGAGATATCCCTTTTGACTCGGTCGTGACACAAAGGGAGGAACGTCTTCCTATTGGAGCCTCAGTGATCGGGGCTCCAGGTAAATCATTCTTTGGACATTCTTCGCATTCATCGCTAATAGTACGCCTCAGGGACAGATCTGATTATCACCGAATTGGTAGGAAAGGGGATGCTCGCAGGAAATTTCCCACAACAGCTCAAGACTGGTCCCACAATGTACTAAAGATGAAATAACAACGCTCATCCGGCGGCGTCCCGTTCAATCTTAACGGACGCTACATGGTGTGTTGAAGGGGAGCCATTCCGCGGTTCGGCGCAGTGAGAAGGTCGCAGGAAACCCACATTCAACATTCTCTTCAAAGAATTTGGCTCTAAATATTCGATGCTTCTCGCACGTCGATAGAAGCGTAGACCTTTCTAGATACCCACAGATTTCAGTCCATGCCCTTCCTTTCCCCAGACCTCGACTCTAGTCAAGTCGTTAATTAAGAGCGTGGAGTTTCATCTAACCATCAGTATCTTAAGTCCGATAGCCTCTCATCTGTGCCATGCATCCGCCGGGGCGGACTCGGTTTAACCTGGAAGCCTTGGCTAAGCGCCATCGCCTTCCCTTCCACAGACTTGAGTGGGCAAGTGGCTGCCTTGGGACAAGGCTATTGTAGTCTGGGTAGTGGATGTATAATCTACCAATCATGTTCATATGTCGCCACACTTGCAACAGGGGGTACCAAAACTCACCGATCACCGATGTGTCTCCGCGCACAGGCCGCATCACTAGAATATACTTAAAAAACGTTAATTTATTAATAGATTACTAGCTATAGCTATAAATGCACCCTCTACTATATTTTACTAGATACTAATATTATCTTAGTAAGTTAGAGATCCGGGTATAAATTTCCTCGAGTATAATACTATTCTAGATATCTAAAATATACTACTTTAGCTTCTTATTATTCTACTATATCCTTTTCCTTAATCTCTACTTTAATATAGCCTAATAGACTTCTATAGGATTTAGATTAGAACTCTATATATAGTAGTAATTAACTTATATTCTCTCTTTAAGTCTAGCCTCTATAGCTAGATTAGTTTTCCCTATCTTACTACCTTTTCTAGGCTTCCTATATAAAGGATCTCTATCTTTAACTAGCTAAAAAGTATAAGAGTACTAGGCCTTAAGGGCCTTTACCTACTTTATATAAATAGATAGTATCTTTAAAATATAGTACTCTATTATTATTCTATTACCCTTTAGCTTATAGATAACCTTATACTTATATTAATTCTACTAGGATAGGACTCTAGCCTTATATTAAACCTAAGTCTTATTCTTACGGCATTGTGGTTTACCTAATTTTTAAGGCCTTCTTACTTTAACTTACTTATTATTATAGAAGATAAGGTCTCCTTTATAGAACTAGGAGACGTAGCTTACGATGTAGTATTTCTAGTCTTATCTATTAGGCTTATACTAAAGATTTTAAGGCTCCTTAGCTATCTTTTACTTATATAATATCTACCTAGTTTAGTACTCTATAGGGTCTATATAAGCCTTATCTATATAGACCCTATATTTAAATAGCTTAAGACCCTAATTCTAATACTTTTCACTCTATATACGTCTCTCTTTAAGGTTATATTTTAAAATAGACTTTATCTATCTCTATTTATAGTGTAAGAATAGGGTTAATAGATAGTAGTATAGCTAGATAGAACAATGGGGTGTATTCCTATATAGAACGAATTACTACCAAGCCCCCTCGGTAGTAATCAAGGAGTATATATTAGAGGTATACTAATCTAACTAGCACGTGACCACTTACTGCCTATCACGCCATCTCTTACTATATCGGCTTAGATATATATAGATCTAGTCTAGCCTTCGGTTAATTCCTAATAATAATCCCCTTCCTTTAGAGAGCTACCCTTAGTGATATTAATCTTTATACTTCTACCCCGTTCCGTACCTATTATTTAGATTCTATAGACCGTTTATACCGAACCAAACTAATATCTATAGATACCGTTTAAACGCCTTAGTTCTATTAATCCAAGGAGTATTACCTAAATAGGACTAGTGTCTACGTGACTTAATTACGTAAGCCTAGATAGATCCTATATATAAATCTTTCCTTAGAATATTTCCTTTCTTTAAAAAACTCTATAACTTTTTATAGAATTTCTTAGATTACTAGGTATATTACTAGTTCTCTATAGATATAACTTTATATCGATTTACTTAGATTAGTATAGATTTACTAAAAAAACTTCTCATACCCTAACGGACCAAACTAGTCAATTCGGGGTAATATAGCGATCTACATACATCAAACGATAGAGTATACCGAGTATAACAACCTCCAATACACGTACGTACGTATAGTATATAGTATATAACGATACCGACGTATAGAGACGCTATATATATACGCTCGAAGGCTCTTCGATGATACGAGTATAGACTATCTCTAATAAACGCTAATACGCTAACCCCCTTTTATTAGTTACGGGTAGCCCTTTACTAATAATTATAGCGGCCTTAGGTACCGACGTACCTCGGCTTCTACTAGGTATACCCCTAACACTAGTACGGTAGAAACGGCCATATAGCGGTATATCCTAGGATGATTAAACCCCCGTCTAATAAACGACGAATAACCAAGGGCGTATAACGCTATAGATAATAGAGATAGAGGGGACTCTACCCGGGGAGACCCTCCCGGATAAGATTAACTACTAGGTAGCACGTATAGAAGGGGAAGTTAAGAAGGGAGAAACGGCCCTCCTTAGTATCTTCCGGAACCTCGTCCGGAATATTAGGGAGCTTACTATAGGAGTAAAATAGGCGCCGGAACTAGACCTAGAATCTAGACTAGATCGTATAGAGGCCAGCCTATAGAGGATCTAGGAGGGCCTTACCTAGGGAAAACGCCCTAGCACGTAGGTATAGGTCGCCGCACCTATAAGCGGAATAGCTATATTAGCTAAAATACTAAGGGTACCTACGGACGGGGTATATAGTATATAAGTCGCTATCTAGAATAAAGAAGTACTCGTATAAGTCTAGTAAGCGTCTCTAAAGGATATTATAAATAAGATTAATAAATAGAAAGGGATATAGTTAAATATAGTGGCCGCCAAACTCACCCTAGGAGGTATAGTACTAACTACTACTACTAACACGGCCTAGTAGACTATCTCGCGCGACCCGAACGTGATTAATAACATCTTCTCTAGCGCGTCTATCCGCGTAACCATGTACCTAATATAGGTATATACCGTCCCTATCTAAGGACACGTTATTAGAGAAGATAATATCGAGCGAATAGAGCGATCTAACAAACCGAAGTACCCCGGGATTAAGATCGCGAAGGCGTGGTAGAAGAACGTCTAAGGGATCAAGATAAAATTAAAAAAGTACTCTACTATAATAGTAGAGCTTAGGGACCCCGCTCTCGCCTATAGAATAATATAGGAGGGCTTTCTAGCTAAAGGAGAGCTACTCACGGCGGAACTATAGGATAGGGCATAGGTAATAACGTAATGCTTTAACTATTAAGGATATAGGTATACTAGGCAGAGGTGCTCTTAGAAGACCGCCTATAGGTAGTATAAATAGGGCTATAATACTAAGGAATACCCTTATAAGACGTAGAGTAACGAGACGCGAGATAGGGACACCGCTAAGTACTCTAACTACGACGGGAAATACCTATCCTAGTCGGTAACGTATATGAAACGTAAGTAGGTCGTAGAATATATTAACGCGATAAAGATAAGAGAGGCGAGGTAGATATACCAAGCTATAAGGCCCTCGCTACCCTCGCCGCTATCCCTAACTTTACTTATGAATCTAGTAACCACCCCCCGAAGGGGAGAGGATAACGCGTAATAGTATACTATATAGAGAAAGATAGGCTAACCCCGGGGTATACTTAAAGCCGCTACCGCGCGAGGATAATCACGCCTTAGCGCCACTAATATATAGACTCGAACTTTCCCTAGTACCTAATAAGGGTATAAGATATACTTATTATTATATAGGCGAACGTATAACATAAATGAGAAAACCAAGCGACGCTCCTAGAAGAGACAGGAGCCGTAATAATAGCTATCTAGGAACTATATAAACACTACTAAACTAATAAGCTAATAATACACCTAGGATACTATACTATCCACCCTACGGGCCCGGATAGGAGAGTCATGTTTTATATATATAAGTCGATCCCGCTCTTAGAATGGTCTTATACCGAACGTAATAACCTCTAGATAATACTATATCTCTAGATAAGTATAGGGCCTCTCCATATCTATAACATCTATAATTAATAGTAATCGCTTATACTAGACGATATACTCGAGGGCACCACAACGCCGGGATAATATATCCTCCTAGGCGACTTTAATCTCTACCATAGGTAGTAGGGAGGCCTAGCCGTCGCGAGAGAAGAACTTAGAGTAAGGGAACTATATACACGGTGCTATAACTTTCTATACCTCCTTATACCTATGGGGTAGATTACCTAGAGGAAATATAAATAGGACGAGGACGGGTCTACGCTCGACCTCACCCTTGCCACCAAGCATATTAGCTATAGAGTATAGTACTACCGCCCGAGCCGGATATAGACGGACTCCGACCATGAATATATAGAAACCGTAATAGACGTCTCCACTCTTAATAAATAACGTGGGAAATAGCTATAGAAGGATACTAATTAGGATAAATATCTAGAGGACCTAGAATCGGCGATTCTAGACCCCTCTATAGTTAACGTATCCAACGGCCTAGCCATAGACAAGGCCGTGTAAGTCCTCCTTTAAGTATACTAAGCTATAAGAGATAAACACGTGCTATACTAAACGTATAGACCCCTAGAAGCAAGGGGTATACCTTAAATACGAGAGTATAGAAGAGATACCCGTAGACTATATACACGTGTATACTATATCCGGACGACCGAGGCGTGGGAAGAGTAGAAGGAAGTAGTGCGATATCGTGATAGGGCCCTCCGTAATAAACGACGAAAATAATAGTATATAATTACCGATAAACACACACGGTAAGCCGTAGGGCTATAGTGCATGGTAAAGTAGGCTAAGGGTGTAGACGCGCCGATACCGCCGCCACTAATACCTCCCCTAATATACTAAGAGAGAATATACTCTATAAGCCCGGAGAAGACGGAGATCTTACGTAAAGTTATATTCCCCCTC